TCAGAAGTGGTTCGTTCTGTCCTTGCAGAGCGTGCAAACTTGCCTTGCCTGGCAGCAAGGTCTGCATGTAAAGTAAGTTGCTTCATTTATTACTGCTGATCCTGCTGCAAAGTGTTGTGTGAATATGTTGACAATGCTTTTAGATTTCTGTGAGAAATAATTACTCGATTGTGCTACCTTGAAATTGACGATGCTCCATAATCATATACTTATAATATCACGACATCTTAATTGCAGATGGAAGCCTTGTCGAAAGGCTCGCTTTTCCCAAAGGTTGTTGAAGCATATTCTCGTCCGACAAGAATAGTCCGAGGAAAGGATGTAGACCCTCATATTGAGGTACTCTTTCTCTTGAATGAAGATACTTTCTGTCTTCAGGGCCTGAAATTGTTTGGTTGCTTGGTAGCATATCCATGTCCTTGGAAAAGGTCTTAGTTTTCATTAAATTCATGCACAACAATATAAGTGAAAGCTGGTCAGGTGAAACATTATAACCCTAGCAACCATAAATCTCAAATGGGGACAGGCAAAGCAATGAACCCTGTGAGCTTTTGATCCCTCTACTTTGCTGCGACCAACTATCTTCCACCTTATGTTAATTACCATAGTAATATGACTCCAAAAACTAGGTCAAAACTGTGATGTGGCAATGAGGTTTGTTATTTCCATGTCCAAGGTGGGTGTCACATCCTTCTCTCCCTTGCCAAGGTAGTGCTTAGAAACAGATACTAAATCCCTTGCTTGTGCGCTACTCTTAAAAAATGTAGAACATAAGTATTTTCGCTTTTGCAGTTTGATAAGTAGACAAGAGTTTAATTTCGATATAAGGGATAAATGAAAAGGTGGGGTGTGTTTACATATAAGATGGCACAGTGGAAAGATAAACAGGTCATTAAAACAGAAACAAACAGAGGTGTAATTAATCTTTGTATTCAAGTAGTTGTAGCTGCTGTATGGTTTTCGTTTATGCGTTTATGATTGCTCTGCAAAGTCCAATCTTTCAATATTATCACGACCAATATAATGGCACGTTCTTGGTATTTTTTTGTCTGAGCACGTTTTTGTACTTGTTAGGTGGATGAGGCAGCTTTTGAGACAGACGAAGAGAAAGCTTTATGGAGTTCTTTCTTGTCAGTTAGAAACAAAATATGTCATGGTACTTCTATCTTTCTCCAATAGATTTCCAATCTGTTTTAACTTTGGTAGCATATCAAGTAACTTTGAACTCCTTTTCTCTGGCTCCTAGGTATTGAGATTGATGAGTTTGTTGAAATATCATCACAACTACTACAACCCCTTGAAGATTTCTTTAATCATGTGTTTGTAATGGTGGTATGCTTCCTTTACCATTTTCTTGTACAACTTGTATTTTCACAGCTAGTACCATATGTTTACTCGTATGCATGCCTAACGAAAAGAAAGACTAGATTACACAACATATCCATGCGCAGTTATGAGAAAGAGTAAATTAGACAAACATCCCTTCAGGTTAGTGCATCTTGACTTAAACCTTGCACTTCCAGAAATTACAAGCTGACTGCTTGAGGTTTGGTTTTGGTTACATAAACAATCCCTTTAGTAGTTTAATTAATCACGCACTAATTCTAGAAAGAAAGAAAAAAGTCGATTAATTTCCAAAAGTACCCTGTGGGAATATTGTATAAGATTATATTTCGTTTCCAAAAGTACCATGAGACAAGAAAACAAAAACCAATGTTTCGTTTACTTAATGCGCAGGAAGAAGAAAGAGTCCGCAGGAACAGGCTTGCTTTGCTGAAGAAAATTTCTGACCTTCCAAGTGGAATAGCAGACCTCTCGATTTTGCCTGGATTTTAAGTTTTGTCTTGATTGTAGTCATTATAGCAAAGGAATATCATTTTTTTGCAGAAGAGAATTATGAGGGAGAGGAGGAGAACGAACAGTGTCATGGGTGTATTTGCCTTCCAGCTTGTGATGTTAGTTTGCATAATTTCTGAGTTATATTTATCAAATATCAAGGCTTGTTAAAGACATGTTTTTAGTGTAAATTGAATGAGTTGGAAATTCATTGTAAAGAACAGAAAAGAAGTGTTACATGGCAAATCCATAAAAATTGAGTAGCTGTCATTCTGAGACATTATAAATGGCTTTAATTTGACACAGAATTTTTTTCTTCTTTTTTCGTTTTCCCCATACGCATTAGTGTCTTATGCGACTAGCAATTAGGACAATGGTCTATGTAAAAAGTTTTGGGATGGAAGACTTTACCCTCTTGAATTTTAAAACAATGTCTAAATGTGTTGGTTTTTTCTTTCAGTGCCAATTTCTTCGTAAAAAACTCCACAAAAGTATGGATTGAATACGCCCTCATCGTGTGTTTTAATTCCTTTGTATTCGAATATTACAATAGTATTACCAAAACAAAGTAATTTTGAGTTAATAAAGAACGGGTTAGCTCTTCCAGTTCACAATTAAATCAACAAAATCTCAGCCTAAAGTAGAGACAAATGTTACTAGATCATATGGTCATATTATTAGAAATTTAGAAGTAATAGACTGGAGATGTTTTGTCATTTTAAAATTTGTGTCTGGGTATTATATCAAATTATTGCTTTTTATCACGAAGACAGACAAGAAATTGACAACTTATCCATGCGCTAAAAAGAATGACAGTGACAACAACTTCTTCGTACATAAAACACCCCAATAATACAATTTCACCCCCACAGAACGGCCCAGATGATGCCACGTTGCTGCCACATTAGACATTCTTGATAAGCCCTAAATACTTCTATCCTCCTAATGGCAGACTTGTAGATGTCCAAACAAATCCCAAAACCGAAAACAAAAATAAAAATAGACATGAAACTTATCCTTATGTTCACATTTTGGGATTGGACTTAGGCTTGGTTTGGTTAATGGGAAAGGAGGTTTGGGGATGGCAAATTAATTGTTTTTCCATGTTTGGTAATTTCAAACATAGAAAATAATTTTCTGGCACGTGAGAAAGTAGGGAGGAAATGTAACCCTACTCCACTTTGAGTTTCATTTTCCCTTCTCATGAAAAACTTTGGAAAAATGGATCAGCATTAATTGCGCATTTTATATGACCATTTTGTCCCATCATTTTCTCTCTAGCTTTGCATTCCTTTGTCTTTGAATTTTGATGTTTTTGGTTATCATAATGTTTTAGGACTTGGTTGTGTGCAAAATATTAGGGTTGTAGTGTAATTAAGGCTTTAGCCTTTCTCTAATATAAATATATATTTTTACACTAAGAAATGAGAAATAAAATATTCTTTTCCCACGTTTGGTAATACTGGGAAAGTAATCGGGAGATATCACTTTATTTCATTTCCCATATTTGTTTTAAGTAAGAATGGAAAACAAAGTTTGTATAAATTTTCAATTACACCCATATTAAATCAAATAAAAAAAGAATGCATTTAATGATATATTATAATTCTAAATTGTTAATGGGGACAAAATGGTTATGAATTTTTTTTAATTTAATATTGGCTCATTTTCCCAAACTTTCTCATAAGAAGGGAAAACAAAACCCAAGTTGGGAGGATGACTTCACTTTTCCCCTACTTTCCCATGAGTCAGGCAACGATTTTCCATTCCCGGACTTATCAAACACAGGAAAACAATTGATTTTCCATCTCCAAGTCTCTTTTCCCATGAACCAAATAGTCAAATAACACATTGTTGTTAAAGTAACATTTTCTGAAATCATTTCACATTGTTAACCAAACTACTCAACTTAAACAAAAGAAAAACATATTGTGTTGGGATTTATAGTTTCACTAGAAGAGTATATCACATACTCATGGATAGAGCTTGACTCTCCTTATCCTTTCCCCCCTAATTCCAAACGAAAAATAATAATAATCTGAAAGTATAAAATAAAAATATATGAAAGGATATAATTTTTACCATTGTGGAGTTAATCTCTTAGTTCTGATCTTACATTCACTCAAATATCTTTAGAAGACAATTATTTGCATTCTTAAAAAAGCTTTGTACATTTTTTTTTTTGTTCCCTAACAACAATAATGAGTAAAGTGGAATCAAACATTTCACATGTGCAACAGTGAATGTTCCTAAACACTTGCGTTACATATCGTCTTACATTTCTTATGAGTGTACTATGTATGTATGAATTTGTGAAGGTAATTTAAAGTGACATAACTTCTCTTTTCCTATTACCATCAATATATTTTTTTCGTTTACTTCATTTTGGGTCTAGTGGTCTTTTTCTTCTTAATTTTGGAAGAATATCAAGTTCAAATCCCTATGATAAAAAAAACTATACATTAGTTTCTGATTAAAAAACATATGCTAACCCTCACGGGTTGGCCCAGTGGTAAGGGCGTTTCCCAGGCCCTATGTAAACGGGAGATCTTGGGTTCGATTCCTGCCGTTGGTGAATCAAGCGATGAGGGCCAGGGACGGGGTGAAATTCCCTATAGCCTCTCCGGGTCCCGGAAGGGGTGGATAGCCGTGGCTTGCCACCAGCTGTCCCCTTTTGAAAAAAAAAAAAAAAAAAAAAAAAAACATATGCTAGTTTTTTCGGTGTGTGTGTGTGGTTATAATCGCAAATTATATGCAAATAAATATTAGAGATGAGAAAATGAAAAGTTATACAACTTGATAGAAAATGTTGGATATATATTAGGTATGTGTACTAAATAATATTATATTGAGAGACCACAGGACACCACGAGCTCCATAGAACAAACGCCAACAATAAATTGAGCATTTCAGATTAGGTTCCCACACACACTCTCTATCTGTGCTCTTGTGAGTTGCGGCTAGGGTTTTTCTCTCTCTCCTCTTCTTCTCTCCTTCTCTAACCCCTAAAGATTCAATCTTTCAGATCTGTTTCTCTCTATAATCTCGAAAGCATCTATATCTCAATACATAAATGGAGATATTGGTAAGGTAGGGTCTCTCTGTCGTCTTTGACAGCAAGAATCTCAAGAAGTTAGGGTTTCTGTGGTGGGTATATTGAGAAAATGGCGACCATGAACCCATTTGATTTGTTGGGTGACGATGATGCCGAGGACCCGTCGCAGCTACTCGCAGCCCAGCAACAGAAACTGGCTGCGGCACCCAAGAAGGCTCTTCCGGCTCAGAACAAGTCGGGGGCTCAGGGTCAAGAGACCAAGCCGGCTAAGCTGCCTTCCAAGCCTGCACCTCCTGCTCAGGCTGGTGAGATTTTTGGTTTTTTAGCTCTTGCTCTATGTGTAGTTCTAAGTGAATGAGTCGTGGGCTATTTTCTTTGTATTCTGCTTGGCTATTTGGTTTTTGTGAGGTTCTTTGGGTCTTTGCTTATAGACTGGAATTGATAGTACTGATAAAGTTGTGATTGGAGATGGGTTGTCTTCTGTTTGTTTTCATTTGGGTTTTATGGAATCCTGGCTTCTCTGTTCTTTTCTTCATTTAGTTGTTTGTGGAACTGACATTTTTTTGTGTCCTGGCTGTTTATTTATATTTGGGTTTTTGTTTTTGTTTTTCGTTTTCCTTGAAGTTGAATGCTGTGTGTCCTTAAAATGTTCTCAAGAGAGGGAAAATATAAATTGGATTGGTATTTGTTACATACATTGTAGGCATAAGAATGTATACACCCACGCCTGCACATAGATTTTGTACACAAATATATATGTCCATGTACATGTTTGCACATGTATTCTAGTATACGCCTATTAATTGGCATATGTACAATACACGCATGCATATTTTATTAGATGAATAATGGTACTTTCATTTAGAAATGCATGCTTTGCATGCAAAAATACACAAAAGATATCATTCAGATTAACAGTTTTGTAAGTATGTGTATGAATTGATTAATAGTGTGTTTTACTTTTGATCCTCTTGTTAGATATATTGTCTTGTGGTACCAAGTGGTACTGGTGTTTTTGTCACGATTACGTTTAGGAAAATATTATATTATGTTTGCTTTTGAAAATACATTTTGAACCTCGAATCCCTTAAAAGGTAAAACCATGGAAATTTTTGTTTTGTTTTCTTTTGCCCTCTTTTTTATAAAATGGAAGTGGGGAAAAATAACAATGTGGAAAATTGTATTTCACTATTTTGTTTGCTAAAGGATATTCCGTTTTCAAATGGTTCTTTTAGAGACAATGACTACATGTTGCTTTTTCACTGCTATATATGATTTATATAGTGTTCGCCCTTAAGCTGGTGTTGAAATGTACCAGGTGAAACCTTTCCTGTGCCTATTATGAAAATTTAAATTTTTTTGTATCATGTACTTCGTTATCTCGAGGGCATGTTCTGTGATGTTTTTCTTGAAGTTGCCCTTTCTTACTGTTGTTTACTTAATTTTTTCTTTTTGAACAGTGAGGGAAGCAAGGAATGAAGCTGGTGGAGGTCGTGGAGGTGGACGTGGACGTGGATATGGATATAGCCGTGGACGCGGTGGTGGTGGGTACAATCGTGAATCACCCAATAATGAAAACACATTCACCAACAGTGGAGCACCTGCTGGCCAAGGTGCTTTTGAAGATGGTGATGGAAATCAGTCTGAAAGGCGTGGCTATGGTGGACCTCGTGGTCCTTACCGTGGTGGTCGCCGCGGTGGTTTCGGAAATGGGGAAGTAGGTGACGGGGAACGCCCTCGCAGGGTATTTGAACGTCGTAGCGGAACTGGGCGCGGGTAAATATTAATTTTGTAGTCCATTTTAATCTGCTATATACTTTCACTTCTGGAAAGGAGAATCTTTGTTTAATATACTTTCAACTTATTTTATTCTGTTTGCAGAAGTGAAATCAAACGTGAAGGTTCTGGGCGTGGCAACTGGGGATCAGAAACAGATGAACTTTCACAGTAACTACATCTCTTTTACAACCCAATTGCATTATCATTTTAAAATCTCTTTTCCTACCTAGGTTTCTCTTGTTAAGATGCTTTCTGTTTTTGTTAGTCTCTCCCTGATGTTTATCATTCTTCATACTTAGGGTGACCGAAGAAGTTGCCAATGTAACTGAAAGGAATTTGGGTGATGAGAAGCCTGTGGGAGAGGTAGATGCAGCAGATGGAAACAAGGAGACACCTGCTAACGAACCGGAAGAAAAGGAACCCGAGGATAAGGTGAGTGGCTTCCTTCTTCATTCTAAATTTTCCACTGGAATTTCTTTTGATAACTAACTCAAAGATGAATAGTATCTGTAAATTAGATATTTTGTTGATCTTCAAGATCTCTTACCATGATTTATCACAGGTCAATGTCTCATTTTCCAGTATCTGTAAATTAGTGTTGTCTTGCCCACTTATCAACAACTTAGCATATTATCCTAGCTTTTCAGCTTTGTGTTTACCCAGCTTGTTATTTTGTCATGGTTTGTGAATAGGAAATGACTCTTGAAGAGTATGAGAAGGTGCTCGAAGAGAAGAGGAAAGCCCTGCAGGCACTTAAGACTTCTGAGGAAAGAAAGGTTGACACTAAGGAATTTGCATCTTTGCAACAGCTATCAAACAAGAAGGGCAATGATGATATCTTCATTAAATTGGTGAGATCTGATTATCCTTTTTATGTCTCTAAGTTCATGTTCATCTTGTGGAACTTAACATCTCAATAACTGTCCATGCCTTTTGACCTTTTCTTCTTTACAGGGTTCTGAAAAGGATAAGAAGAAAGAGGCTGCTGAGAAGGAAGAAAAGTCCAAAAAGGTACGATAGCCTAACCCTTTTTTTTGGTCGAAACGATAGCCTAACCTCGCCTGGAATTTACATCCTATCTATTTATTTATTCTCTATCTTGGCACCTTATAGGCCTATGGCCTTCTAGGAGGACTATTCTTGCTTTCATTTACCTGTTCTGCCTTTTTTTGTTGCCACTTTGGCGGTGGAGGTTGTCTAATCCACCGGCCTTGTGGAAACTATTGCACTGGCCTTTGTGATAGTGTGTGTGCTGGCCTTAATGGACCAATGCCCATGCTTTAAAGACGTTATGGTGCAGACTTATCTACCATGCTTGCTAGAAATACCTTTCTGTTGTCTGTTTCTTAGATGGAAAATTGATGTAGATTTATGCACCTCTTTCTATTACACATATTGATTGAGATTTTGTCTTAGCACGCCAAGTACTTACAGGGATGACCCATATGTTGGCCTCTGTTACATCTGCTCTTGATTCCCACCCTTTAGGAGTCTGCACTGCACATCTGTGTTTGCATATTTAAGTGCTAGCAATGCCGATGTTTTTATGTTGGACTGTTACAACCCCTCTTGATTATCACCCTTGATGAGTTTGCACTACATCTGTGTTTGCATATATGTTAGCTTCCTTTTTTCATTCCGAATAGAATCCAGTTTCCCTCCTACTTTTGCAAGGGGTTTTCTCCAATGGAAGGTGAGTGCTGTAGGATTGTTGTTGGATGTGAGTACCAATCTATTAGTGGTTCCACCAATTGATTGTTACTCGAATCCTACAACAATACCATAACACTCATCCTGCATTGGAGGAATAATCTTTCTTGTAATACATAGTTGAATGGAACATGGGGTGACTTTATTCGTCTCCCATCCCTTACTGTCTGTTCACCAGAATCTTTAGTTAATGCTTTATTCCTATCATCAGAAGAGTTCTTATTCGCAATAGGAACATAAACAAAATAATGTTGGGACATGACCTGATATCCAATTCCTTAGTCCATTAGCAATCTTTGCAACAGATCGCTTGTAGTGTGCCTGTTTAGAATTTTGTTGAATATCTTGTGGTGCAGAAACAACCACGATGTCTAAAATTGATTGGATGTCTTAGGTAGTGTGGCTTAAGTCACTTACAAAGTTCAAAAATTCTTACTTTTGTTTGCCTTGTGCAATTTAATTTCTGAATTTGATTAAAAAGTATTACTAAAAATTCCTTTCCCAATTTTCTGTTATGTTTTGCTCTGCATGACACAAGACATTGTTTTTCACTTCCACCCTATGACTGCAGAAAAGCATTTTCTGTTACTTGTGTGACGTTGTGGTAAATTGTTTTTGGTGATTTGCTTTGTAATGTTAACTGAGATTCTTTCTCATCTAATAAAATGTATTTCTTGTTTTCTTCAAATTATTCTTTTTTTTTTTTTTTTTTTTTTTTTTGGGTTGGTTGGCCTAGTCTGTCAGCATCAATGAGTTCTTAAAGCCTGCTGAAGGAGAAAGGTTCTACAACCCAGGTGGGCGTGGCCGAGGGCGCGGTCGTGGTCCCAGGGGAGGGTTTAGCAACAACTACTCTCACGGCAGTGCTGCAGCACCATCCATTGAAGATCCTGGGCAGTTCCCAACCTTGGGGGGCAAGTGAGATTCTTAAGAACCCGACTTACAGTCTTGATGACGTTCGATTTTTGGGTTCTTTCCTTTCTTCTGAAGCAGGAAATTGACTAGAATAATTGGATTTCCTGTATTAATTTTTTTTATAAAAAATTTATGACTTAAAATTGTAAATTTCAGTTTCATATGTACCCCTAGTAGTTTTTGTTTTCTTTTTTTCTTTTTCTATCCTTATGCAATGTTACTGGTTTTCTGACTTTGGGGCATGTGAAAGGATTTATTCGTTACCAGATATAATCCTTGACCAGTTTTGTTTTCAATGGATGTTCGGCTCTTTTTCGTTTATCTGGATTCTGGAACCAAGCAGTACTTGGTTCCCCAGGAGTAGAGTTTTCACAGTTGTCTTCTCTTGATAACATGGAAAATGATAAATGTTTTCATCTGTATGTCCTGAGTGTTTTTTATGTCTCTTTTGAAGTATGCCCCCCTAGACATGTTGATCTCATTTAGATTCCTTTCACTGTTCCGTTCCCACTGTCAAGCTCCAAAATTTATCTACTGAATTAATGTTCCAAGGTCTAGGCAAGACACAACGTAACGAGGTGGATTGAACTCCCAGGGAGGATCAAATCTGGCTTTGTCTTATCCCTAATTCCTTGGAAATTAGGAACTTGATTTTGAAGGGTGTGTAGGATAAAGTTAACTTGCAAGTACTTTTCTGAGTAACTCATTGTAAAATGTTTCACTAAATATACATTTGAGTACCATTAGAGTAATGAGGCCATACGCTTTCCTTGACCGGATTTTCCTCCATTTGGGTTTTAAAGGCAAGGTTTTAATGAGACTACACTTGTTACGTTACTGAAGTCCAGTTTTTCTTTTTGTACTAGGACATTGTTGTTTCAATGAAGTTAACTCACTTTGATTATTTGTTTTGAAAATTTTGAAAAAGGAGTATCATTAAAGTAATGTTTTATTTCTTTTAGGAGTTTTAGGTCGCAAGTTGACCAAATTTTACTTACTAGCATGCTAAACTTTACCATTTTACCATTTTCGTAAATACATTGTGTAATTTTTTTTAGTCTTTTGGAGTGTTAATTTAAATTTAGTTTTCACTTTCTAACTTTGATCTAGTACTAAATGAAAAATAGTAATTTGATTGATTCTAATATTGAAAATACTTTTAATCCAGACGACATTGGCCCCGATCTACCTTTTAATCCAAAGGCGCTTGTTTTATCCTTTCTTATTGGACCAGTATGGATAGCATTGAGGATTGTTGTTTCCTTGAATCATGTCATTATGTGATCATTCCTTGTATTAACAAAAGCTCCTTACATTTTTTTTGTTGAATCAACATTTATGAGATTTTCAAAAGACGATATTCTTGGTGCTTCTGTTACATAATTCACTGCATCTTTGCGCTCAAGACGAATTGAATTAACCAAAACTGAGACTTAAAGTAACTTTCAGGCTGTAATTGGATAACCAGAGTTACAAGCACAATAATAATATTCAACATTGAGCCGACGCTGCAACATCAATAGGCTGTATAGCTCCCTCCTGCACATGAATTCAATCTTCAAAACAAAGGCCCTACTTTGGTCCTGGTGGTGGTGGTGTATTGAAGCCAGAACTGAGGTCTCCGTGGCCGACCGGTGTCTCGGAGGAGGCAGAGGCAGGCTGCAGAATCAGAGTGATGGAGGAGGGAGACACCTCACTCTTACAAACAGGGCACTCCGGATGGTCAAGGCAGAAGATCTGCAACCAATTTTGGAAACAAATCCCACAGAACAAATGGCCACATGAATTCACCGCCGGCTCTCTTGCCATTTTCAAGCACAAATTGCAGTCGAAATAGGAAGCACATCTTGGTGGAGACAATGGCTCTGGAAAAGTCGCGTAAGAGGGTGAAGAGTATGATGGACCAAACTCGCTCTGTGGGCTGTTGATCTCATCAAGTTCCTCGCTTTCTTGTTCATCATCATCATGTTGATGATGGGTAGAGCTTGAATCATCACTTTCATGGGTAGAAGATGAACCACGAATTGATTGAAGAGCAGAGCTATCAGACTCAAAAGGGTCGTACTGAGGACCAGTGTTGCTGCCTTCCATGGGAGAAGAAGAAGCATCACAAGGACTGCAAAGCTTAACTTCAGAACAAGATTCAAAACCAGAAGCAGATTCATCTTCATCCATGAGATCATATTCTTCTGGTTCTGGGATTCTGAAGTGGAAAATCTCAGGGCGCTTCATAACTCGCATCCTTGGCTTGCTGCTTTGAAACCCACGCTTGATCATACTTTCCTTGTTGGAAGCCATAGACCCAGAATGCCAAGAAACGCAAAGAAATTGAACACCCAAAAAAGAAGCCTAATCAAGAACCAACCCAAAGCCAAATTCAAGAACAAATGACCACCCACTAAACTAGGGGTTTCTTAAATAGTAGGGTTGTGATTTCCCAATTGACTTCCAATTCTACTAGGAGTAGTTGTACGACTAGAAATCCTTGGTCTCCAAGTTTTCAATAGCTGTCACCTCTTTCATTTTTCCTTCGGCTAAATAACCCTTTTCATTTAAAAATAAAAAATAAAAATGACCCTTTTCATTTATGGGGGACAAAAAAAAGGTTTATGAGGCTGGGATGCGCCCATGGTGAGACAAAGTAAAGTAACTTTTGGGCCTAGACACAAATTACCCTATTTAACTCCCTTATCTATTTCTTTTTCGTAAAAGAAGCCGAATGTCAGTGGCTTCTAGCTCAGTTGGTTGAGCTCTTCCATCTCTACTCACCTACGTGGTCAAAGATTTGAAACCCTGAGACATCAATGAATATTTGTGTAAATCCCCCTCCCCATCACTTGAAAAAAAAAAAAAAAAAAAAAAAAAAAAAGAACACATCAAACTTCTATAATTTATTTTCATCTTTTGCTTAAGCTAATTAAAGTAACCTTTCTCTGTGGATTTGATTAAGAGATTGTGAGGTAGCAAATCATCTCGAAGAACATTAACTGTTACAAGTGAGCTTCTCAGTTTATTAATTTCACTTGCTCATGCTAAGTGGAAGGTTTAGTTGTACTATATTTACTGATCATATGTGGAACAAGACGGTTCTATCTATACGAGAAATGTGATTAATTAGCAATATCATCATTAAGTATATGTGGCATTACTCGATTTTGTCAATGAAGGTTATTTTTATTGAAATAAAAAACAATTAGAAACTCGAGGGGTTTCTAAATGGACACTGAGTATATATATATAGGTTAAAAGAGTGGAATAATTCATTAGAAATCACAAGATACATGACTGTCTGCTTGAATCATAGCATCAAGCCAAACTGGTACATCTTCTAGCCAATAAAACTTTTTATTGGAAAATAATCCTTTTCGATTTTTATAAAAAAAGAAAGGCCTTTTTAATTATTGAAAAAAAAATATTACTGTTGGGTTGGAAACAAAGCCCAAGGGTCGAATAAACGTGTATGGGTCCAATAAAATATTGCCTCCTTTTCTAACCAAATAAAAAAAAAAAAAAGAGAAAGGAAAAGGCTCCCTTTTCTCTATCAGAAGCCCGCGGAAAAAAACCGTGCACAAAGATTTATATGATTTCACATCTTCTGCTTCAGCTAAAGTAAGCTCTCTCTCTCCCCAAAATTTTCTGATTATTTTTGTTAAAATATTTTGCTGTTTGTTATTTGAATAACCTTTTGTGCCTGTTAGCTGTTTGTGAGAAGTTCTCTGATGTAATTTTCTTTTTGGGTTTTTGCTTGATAAGCGCCAAGATTTACAATTCTAATGATCTGGATTTGCCGCGTTATGGAGAAAGTTTTAAAATTAAGGAAAAAGGGTTTAGCTTTCAGGTTTTTCTTATATAATTTGAACTTGCCAAAGTAAGAGTCTTTTGGAAAGTTCTCCATTAATCAGCCTGTGTGTCTCTTTTATCAATCAGTTTTTGTCAGATATATAATGAGGAGGAGGAAGGTAAGACCTTGAAGATAAAGTGGAAATAAATATTACACTTGATGGTGAACATTTGTGCAAGGGTATTAGGTTTCTATTGGGTCACATATTCAGCACCTTCTATAGAGAAAGCCTAGAATGAATTTGGAAATTTTTTCTCTAATTCTTAAATCTATCCGCCATGCTCAGGCTTGGTGATGAATTAAACTTGAAAGATTAAAGCCAAAAGGAAGGCAATTTAGTGTGTAATGTGTATCTAATTTTAAACATAAATAAATATATAGTTCATTGCTTGCTCTACTGCAATTTCTATTGTGTTTATGTAGTACTCTCACTCCTTGGATACTGTCTACATATACCAGAAAGAAAGTCATTTCTTTCATCTTGTTAATTTCTATTAAACTGTGGCTCATCCCATTCTCAGTTCTGTTAATTGTCAATTTTCCTTACAGTTAATTATGGACCGCTGGCGTGGAGTTCTAAAGGTCCCATTGAACCCTAATGCCAGTTCCTGCTACCGAGTTGCAGCATCTCTTTGCCTTTCACATACTTCCAAAACACTAACCGTAAGTTCTGTATACTGAACCCTTTGAATAACTCAAAGACATGCAAACCTTTGTTTCCTGTCTTCAACTGAATTCTTCTGAAACATTCACACCTTAGTCAGGATATCTTCTTTCTCCCGAAAATGTTAGAAATATATGACCACTAATTTCCTATGAGGCGTAGTGTATGAATTCTGAATGTATCTGCCTTTTCTTCAGGACAGATCTTAAACCCTTGCTATATTTTTTCTCCTATCTGACTTTGGAAGAATGAAGACTTGACTGTGTCTTAAAATTTTCCTGGGAGACAGGTTCCTTCAGCAAATGCTATCTTTTTCAATGGAGATCGAGTATCAGGCACTGGGAATCCAGTGATTGAGAGGCTATCTGACTTACAAAATATAGCTGAAATACTGGTCTCGAAGATTGGTGATTCAACCAATGCTTGGGTTATTGATGCTTCTGTTTTCAATGGGCCTTTTGCTGTGTATCACGACTTTGTCCCATCCGTTAATCAATGGGGAGAGCCGAAGTCATACTGCCCTGTTGGATACCCAGCTTTTGGGTCGATTATTTCGCTCTTATCAAGTTGCCTTCAACAGGTACATATTGACCTGACGTTGTAGTGTTTCTGGCATCATTATTTTTCTTGGTTATTAAATCACTCAAGTGTTATTTGCTCAAGTCTACTTTTTGTGTGGAAGAGAAGAGTGTTCAGGCGATGAAATATGCTCTGCGTAATATCAATGATTGTCAAAATTTAAACTGGATAGACTAAGGCTGTACTTAAAAGACTCATCCTTCTTTTGAACTCTGAATCACTTTTAGCAGTAGATGGTTCTCATCTCTAAACTTTTGACAGTTGCAGGTCAAGAATGACATTGCGAGAGGGAAAGAATTGCTTAAACCAGGAATATCCGCATCACATTTTGATCTACCTAAAACATTATTCTTTGGATTCAGCAAGGGTGGCACTGTACTTAACCAGCTAGTTACTGAGCTTGGCTTCTCAGATGTTAAACCCTCTGGAGATCCACCACTCTTGGAGGAAAAGAAAATTGGTGTCAAAGACGAGATTCATATCATACCTAGAACAAAACAAAGCCTGTTAAACAGCATCAGAGAAATTCATTACGTGGATGTTGGATTAAATTCCCCTGGTGCATATATCACTGACCATAGCATGATTGAGAAAATCCCCGAATGCCTAATACGAGGAGCTAGAGGAATCAGTTTTGTCCTTCATGGAACTCCCAGGCAATGGTGTGACAGCAGACGACCTTGGATACGAAAAGAAAAAGACAAATTGGTTCATCTGCTGGAGTCTGAATCTCAGAGAAGTGGAGGAAAATTACAGGTGTTTGAGAAATTTTATTTTGCTGATAGGGCCCCGGATTTGCAGATGCATTTTGAAGTAATTGATAAATTGGATTTGAGTTAACAGCTGTAAGTAGACCAAGATTATTGTAATTATATTGTAAAAAAAAGTAAATGGAAATATTCATTGGAAAACTTTTTATCATTCTTTTATACAAGTGATCTATTAAGATTGAAGGCCTCATATTCTGATTCATGTGAGAAAAATGTGGATTGCAATGCAACTTCTGTTATATTATATATATATATATATATATATATATATTTTATAGCCTTTGAGTCCCAAATGTGTAGCTTGCTAAATTTATAGTTGCCAATAACAGCAGGGGAGTTTAGATATGCAATGAAAAAGATAGATTGGTTCTTCTGCTTCAATCTGAAGCTCAGAGGTGTGAGACATTTTTATTTTGCTGATGGGCACCTGATTTGCCGATGCATTTTGAACTAAATAAAAAAATTGGATGTGAGTTTAAATTTGTAAACTGTCATCGTTTAATTGTATTATGAAAAAGAAAGTAAACTGACTTTACAAAATTGTATTATCATTGGCTTTTTGATTACATTATGAAAACACCATGATTGGCAAAAGTGGCTTTTGCTTCTTTGTACTATAAACAAAATACACAATATATCTTGTACTATATTAAGCTTCCTGCAGCACCCAAAGCTCTCCGCATTGACTGAATCTTCAAAAGCAAAGCCCCCCCTTTGATCTTGGTGGAACATTTAACTCAAGGTCTCTGTTACATACAGGTGTCGGCCTAATCGGAATAATCGATGAATCAAGCACCTTACTGTGACAAACAGGGCACTCCATTTGAGAGGTGAAAAAGTGCAGCCATTTGTCCAAACAATCCCCACAGAACAAATGACCACATGGAGTCACCACTGGCTCTCTTGCCATCTTCAAGCACAGCTTGCAGTCAAAATAGAAAGCAAGTCTTGGTGGAGACGATGGCTCTGGACTTGCTGGGCAGAATGAAGCGCCAAGTTCATGGCTTTCTTGCTCATCATCATCGTCTTGATGATGGGTAGAGCTCAAATCGTCCGGAGGGGAGGTAGAACATGAACCACAAACTGAATGAACAGCAAAGCTATCAGACTCAAAAGGGTCGCTGCCATTGTTGCTACCTTCCATGGAAGAAGAGGCCTCACAAGGACTGCAAGGCTTAATTTCAGAACAAGACAGGGCAACGGGTTTATAACCATAGGCAGATAATTCTTCTTCATCCATGAGATCACATTCTTCTGGTTCTGCTTCTGGAATTCTGAAGCGGAAAACCTGAGGGGGCTTCATAACTCGCATCCTTGGCTTGCGGCTTTGAAACCCAACCTTGATCACTTGTGGCATACTTCCGTTCATGGAAGCCATAGATTCACGGCTGACCAAAACAGAGCAAACCCAGAACGCAAGAAGTGGACACTGAGATGAGAACAGAGTTGTAGGGTTTCTAATTTCCTACAGACATCAGGTATATATAGGTATTCGGGTTTGCTTTCGAGATCCTAATTCCACTAGGAAAAGCAAGATTTCGTGGTCCGCAAGTTTTCAACGGCATATGACCGTTGTAATTCTTGTATTTAGCCTTATTTTTATTTTTAAAAAGACCCTTTTGATTTTCAGAAAAAATAATATTATAAATCATAAGATTTAATACACACGTTTAGAAATTCCTTTAACTTATTTTTCGACACAAAATCACTCTCTCCAAAATACCCTAATTATCTTTGCCTTTTTATATGTACTTTGGTAAAAACAGGGAAAGTTTTCAAGACGAGCCCTTTTGTAAATAGGAATCAGAATTGAAGCATTCTTAACAATTCTTTCATCCCGGATCAAATTCTCTCTGAGCTCCTCTCACTTATGGCATATTCAAAGCAAGTCCAGGCTTCAGACCCAAAAACAACAAAAGCCAAGTCTAGGCCCAAAGAGGCTTTTTTTGTTTGTTGCGCAGCTGCTGCGTGTACAGCGCACATCGGCTAAATACTTTTATCTAATTCCCTGTCCCAAAACGTTTGGGACCAGGACAAAAAATAGAAAGAAAGAAGAAGCCTTACCCACAATCCAGAAGAAACGCTGATAAGGTAGAAGGTGTTTTTTTCACTCCACAGTTTTGGTCCAAGCCTTGACAAAAACTAGGAGTAGTCATGGGGTTGGGCTAGGATCTTTCAGTATGTTTCTTTATGTTGTTTTTCTGGTGCCATCTGTTTTGCATGAGGTGTTGGTGGCTTTGGCTGTAGCTTCTAGCCTCCATCCACCTATCGCTGTATATAAATATATGGTTCCACCCTTTGGCCTCTTGTTTGCCCTTATTTTATTGTCTGTCTACTTAATATCGTGCCGCCATAGCCCAATTGCTCTGAAGAGTAAAAATATCATCTGGCACAGAAAAACTGGTGCCACATTAAGGTAGCAACAACGCATACCATGTGCCCTAATACGTATATTTGCTTTAATGCATACAATGTACTGTGCACAACAGAAAGTTTGGTTTTTAGTTTGTTTTGTCCCTGTTCATGCGTAAGAAAAACCAGCAACCAACCACCCCCCATAAAAAGTCCCCATGCATGTGATTGATTCGCAAATACTATAAAAAGTCCAAAACCAAACAAGGAAAAAACTGCCCCATGCATGTGATTGATTAGCCATTACAAATCAAAAAACAAGTTCAGAAACAAGAACCCTGACAAACTTGTTGCATATAATAAGTGCATTTACTTGTTTGTTTGCGAGTTTCTCTTCTGTTTGTATTTTCCGATGCTTATCTCAATGAGAAGCTCAGAAGGCATCAGTTGAGGGATTTGAATGAATTCATGACCAAAGCTGTCCTCATATATATGATGGCTAAGCTAGCTGTGATCAAACAGAGCCAATAGTTTTTTGCATATCAAACAGGATGTACAGGTAAACAAACCAGGTTGGTTTTGCATGCAGCCTGCAGAGTCTGGATTAAACTTTTTTCTTGAAATTTCTTTTAAACTTACTTAATCACTCGCTATTTTAAATATTTTTTTTCTTTCAATGGTTATGTAACTTTGACGGAGCTGAAAATGAAAATTGCTTATCCTATTAACGACGAGAGAGAGAGAGAGAGAGAGAGATTCTTTTAAATTTCAGTATTTTTTCTATTTTTGAAACTTAATGTTGATAAATTATCCGTAATTAATCATTAGTTGAAGTTTGAATTGTAATAAGATACTTTTTTTTTTAACTTCCCAATCAATTTCTCTTAAAAGCATATTACTACAAATAATGTAATTTCTTTCAGTCTGTTTTTGCATGCACACTTTCACTAGAGAAATAATAATATTTTTATTTTAAGAATAAATATTTTTTTCCCTGTTAATTGTTATTGGTTATTTAATATATGAATAATAGCTGGAAAGTGAAGGTTTTTATTGCTTTTTTTTTCTCCAATCTAAAGAAAATGATTTCTTAAATAATATTGAACCTTCTCACTGCATAAAGACTGAATAAAATATTCCAACGGGGTCTAACTCGATAGAAAAAGACCTTAACTTGCAAATCAAATATTTAAGATTCAAAACTCCTTATCTTTAGTTGTTTGAAATATTAATCTGGCCCAAGAGTAGCTGAAAGGAAATTCATAGGCCGAGCGGGCTCAAGCAAATCTTGATTGCATACGTGTTGGGGTTGGAAGGACCCATCCACGATAGTGAAATCGGAATGATTCAAAGTGGGGTCAGAAACGTGTTTGTAAACAAACTGTGATTTGATCCGAGGTGACAAAGACCTCCACCTAAATCCGTCCACGATAGTGAAATTGGGGAATTCATTGGTGGAGCATAGAGGCCTATAAAACGTGAGCCCACAACTGGGGAATTTTTAGGTCCTCAATTATCCTCTTTTTTACTTAAACCATATCCCCTCGGTTCTAATCGCCAGAGCCATTGACCCGACTGTTGAGAGCATCCTCCGTTGTGTTAAACTTGAGTAAAGGCTCTTGTTGTAATTTTCTGAAGAAAGAATAAACCGATTGAGCCACTTTTGTGAGAAACTTTAATATTAATGTTTTTGTTTGTGTGGCCATTAGAGCACTTTCACCCCATTTTCTTTCAACATGGCAAAAGGGGGCCTAAGCTCCAAAAATAATTTCCATCCAAGGAAAAATTGGCATGGCAGGAAGTGAGCCATGAAACTGAGCAAGCTCGAAGGCAAGATTTACCTGGGTTGTTGCCTGAGTAAGTTGACGTCATACTAATGTCAATGTGATATCAGCGATCAATTTAAATACTAAAAAAGTTGAAAAAAGGAAAGATGAAAAAAAAACCAAAAAATTCAGAATTTTTTTTTCTATAAATACCCAACATGTTTTTCACTTCCCACACTAAAATCCATACAATTTCCTCTCCTCATTTCCTATGTGAATAGTTGTTGTCCTTGAGTTGTCATGGCAATGAGTAGGAATGCATAAAAAAAATTGCTAGAGCAGTCACTATTCACATGAATAGTGTGTGCCATTACTTGTCTTTGCCCTTGTCCTTTGCCATGACACAATGGGTGAAAGTGCTCTTAGGAGGCCACATAGGTGGTATGTGAATTAGCTATTTCTAGCCTTTACTTTTGGTAGGTATAAGCTAACCAAGTGGGCTATTAAGCTTGTAATAGATATTTTGTAGAGAGAGTTGCTCTCATTGTGAATCAATTTCAAAAATAGAGAAATAAGTCTGGATTTCTCTCTGAAGCTAGACCTCTGAGTTCCAATTCCAAAATTCTCTTTCTCTTATCTGTGCATAATCTCTTGAGTGATTTGCTACTAGTATTACCAAAAAATTCCAACACATTGAAGATCGAAGTATAGCATAACAAATTTGAAAGATCTAGGGCCTCACAACTCATTGTCAATTGGTTTTGAATTGGATGTTAACATTCTAATATAGTATCAGAGTCAGGTTATTCACGTGATAGGCTCAACGACCCCACGTAGCCAGCCGATAAAAATTGTCCTCATGTTAGGAGCATAAAACCTCACATGAGGGGACGTATTGAAAGAACCTCACATATAATGAGTTTAAAAGATTATGAACCTCTCTATTCAATATTACCAATTGATTTTGAGTTGAAAGCTCATGTTCTAATCAATCACCTCCCTCATTGGTGCTGGTGTTGGCCCCGGATGGTCTGCGTTGTCCTTAACTTTTTATTTTGCTTCGTAATTTCTGTTATGTTTCTTTATCAGTATCATTGTTAGTTGCTTTTATATGCTGGGTTGTATCTGGGCTTCCATGTGACTTTCCTATTCGGTGTGGTGTACCACTATACCAAATAGGAAAAGACCCAAAAAATAAAAGTAAAATTTCTATTGGAAAAGACCGCTTGGTCGGTTATTGTGGGTCGACGATGGTACCACTACACTACAATCACAATCAAAGGTTATAAATGTCTTTTCATCTTATTAGGTGCTTTTATTTTTCCAATTCTTAATTATACGCTTAAGCAAAACTAGAAAGATCCGATTGGAAATTGATGACTGTCTATCCAGACTTGGTAAATTTTTTGAGAAAAGAATCACCATGGTACAAGACATTGACGTCGTGTCTTCCATAGATGCTTTAACAGTCAAGTTCACTACTAGGTACTAGCTTTGTTGAAATGTAATAGCAAGTTGAAGTTCTCACACAGGAAATGTTGCTTATTAAAATGATGTCATGAGTCAACTTCATAAATTTTATACACTAGGTGACATTTTGGAATCTTAATACATATAAAAATAAATGAGGAATCTTAAGGCTAAATGCGATGGTGGAGTTGACAGTGTCGCTTCTTTAAATGATGGTAGTATGGTATGATTCATTTAGGCTTATGCGTTATTTTAGGGTTTCGGTTATTTTGAGTTTATGGACTTTATAGTAGTTGTTAGCGAGTTTGCTTTAGTTTCGCATCAAAACATCAATAGACGAATCAAAACTTTTAGAATTTGTTTTAGCATCTCTACACATTGTTTTGATATGTCTACCTTTTTTCCTCTCATATTTTTCTGTCTTTTGCCTTCACTCTATGTGGTTCTGCTTCTTCTCAACGAACTCAGCAAAGCAACCTGGTTCCCCATACACTTGCTTTCTAGCGTAAGAGCTCTCACGCCCAATCCTGAAACGTGGCCCCTCTGGCTCATGTTTGATTGACACGTTCACACCGACCGCCAAATAATCACATGGGAAATTCACTCAAACCCGATCAAGTGTTCTTGCTTACAATTTTTGTTGCACCAATTAATTCCACAGCCGTACGATTGGTGCAGTATCCTTTATTGAATCTCAAATGAATATTGGGACGTGAATAGAGGAGGTTAAACTCTATTCAATATTTTCGATGTTACCATGAATATGAATCATGTAATTTAAGGGCTCGTTTGATAATTATTTCAATTTTAGTTTTTTGTGTTAGAGTACAGAAGAAAAAGAAGGAGAATAGAAGTGAGAATAAAAGTAGCGATGAAATTGAGAGGGGAGGATGAGAGGGAAGAGTAACAAAAGTGAAAACAAGAATTAAAAAAATCTATTTAGTTCTTGTTTTCACTTTCGTTACTCCCTTACATCCTCCCCTTTTATCTTCTCTCTCAATTTCATCCTCACTCTTATCCTCACTCTTATTTTCTTCTATACTCTAGCACAAAAAACAAAAGACAAAAAAATTTATCAAATAGGCCCTAATTTTTTAAGCAATTTAAGTCATTTTTTCTCATTGGTGGGTATTTATATCTAAAGACGGAGCAAAAAAATTTCATCAACGGGGAGTATATATATTTTTCTTTTGATTAAGGAGGTGTTGCAATGGGGTGTGCACTAATTTTATGGGATGTGGTATCCTAATTTCCATAAAATATAGTGATTTTTTATTTTAAATTTTTATACAAGTAATATTAGAGAGGAGGAATCGAACTTATGACTTCGAGTACATAAGTAAATTTTTTAAGTAAGAGCTCACCCTAGTCTAAAAGTAGCTCCACCATTATTATAACTAAATTGATTAAAATGACCTCTCTCCTCAATTGTTGTTATATAGAGAGGGTAATGCTAGGCTCACTACATTTTTATCCCACATTGTCTATCACCTCTCTAAGGGCCAGTTCGGCATTGTTGTGCTGTGAAAATAATCACTATTTAATTTGTTGTGAGATAAATCAGCTGTGAGAGAAAGCAATTTGGAGTTTGGTAAACTTTTTATTCAAAATGTTGTTGGTATTAATTCCCGCATAATCAAAAAATGATTGTCGTATAATCATTAAACTCAGCGCCTCTTTGAAACTGATTCATGCATAATCAAAAAATGAAAGCACCTCATTAGCTGCTTTCACTTATAGCTTTATCTCACAACAATTTTTAACATTAAATGATTTTCTCATAGTTTACCAAACGCGGATGAGCTTCCCAAATTTTAAAAAAAATCACTTATCATCCTAAATAAGCAATGCCAAATGAGCATTAATAAAAGTGGGCTCCACCTCTATTAGAAAGATGATATACAATATGGTATAAAAATGTGATAAGCCTAGCATTTTCTATATAAAAAAGTCACTTGTCCTTTTGGGATATAAATTGGATCTTTTGTTTGTTAATGATGCGTTGAGACTTAAACAGCCGTCTGAGTAGTCACACGCCAGGCCATCCCAATCTAAACAGTTGTGTTAATATATCAGATATTTTGGGTCTAGAGTTAATCTCAGCCGTTAAATTGATATAGCCATGGACATAGTGGGATGTTGCATCACATACCAACATGGCTCTCTCTCTCTCTCTCTCTCTCTCTTCTCAGCTTTCTTCGTCTCTGTAGGACTGTAACTGAGAAGGAAAGGGATCTCCAGTGAACTGCAGGAAGGAACATAAGGATTTAAGTGGGGCAAGTTTTTAGATAATTTGAACAATCTGTAAGTGGCCTTTCTTTCTCAGCAAATTCTACAAAAGGAAATTACTTGTACTCGATTAATTTCCACCAATTTTGAGCTTTTTTTATGTAAATGTATTTAATTTCTTGGTCTTATTAATTTGTACAATATTGGATTTTCGTCCTGTCACAACATCAGATCAAATTAATTAATTTACTATCACAATATTGGATATTTTCAAATCAAGAGCAATTAATTGCAGGAAATTGAGTTGTAGAACTAATAATAATGATAGGTAGATGAACAAATAAGAAAGATTTATGCTTAAATTAATATGTTTATTTAAAATTAAAGCACAAACTTGACTTTGATTCCTAAACAAAACTACATTAATAAAAAAAAACATATAACTCTAGCTACTTGATGGATTTTAATTCTGTTTGAGTGTATCAATAAACCTTTCCTGAACTATATCATTGTTTGTGATAAAATCCAGAAAGTCGCTGAAGCTGAACTCTTTGTAAGACTGTGGATGTTGTTTGTCCACAAGCATTGGTGCAGGCCCTACTTTCTTGTCCAAAGATAGACTGTGGAGACTGGCAATGGAAAGCCTACTTTTCTCAGCGCTAACTGTTGCTCTGTGAAGAACACTTTTGTAATGTCCATTGCTCAGAACCTCCATTTGGTCTCCCAGCTGAACCAAGAGAGCTCCTTCGATGGCCGGGACCGATTGCCAGTTGCTGTTCTGGTCCTTGACCTGAAGCCCTGGACAACTTTGAAGCAGGATGGTTATGGAGCCATAGTCTGAATGGGGAGGCATTCCTAAGGCAAGCTCTGGTTCTGGACATGCAGGGTAGCAATTCACAGCCACTAGTTGGGACCCACTTTCAACTTCTTCTTGTAAGTACTTAGGGTTTAGCCCCAAGCTCTCTAAGACAAGCTCCATTATTTGCTCTTGTAGCACTTGCACAGCCTTGGCATAGTTTCCCATCTTCTCTCTGTCATAGAAATTTGCAGACGTTTAGACTTTAACTTAATTTAGCTAGGTTGCCTCCAAACGTGGCAAGAATATTCAATAGAGTTTCGAAAAGAATGTTTGGTTAACTTACTTGTAACAAGAAGGATTTGATGGCCAAAGATGGATCCATTTTGAAATAGGATGGGAGTAGTGCTTAATGAAGTCTCTCCAAAAGTGAACCCTATCCACAACATGATTCATACTTGTCCCGTACCTTACAGGTGCATGAACGCTATCCGAACCCAGAAGCATCTTTTCCTCAAGAGGCAGGTTGAAGAACTCGTTTGCAGCACTTAGGGCATCTTCCATAACCGAAGACGGGATTCCATGGTTAACCACCTGAAAGAGGATATCCGTTAACATAAGAGTTTAATAGGTTAGGTAAGTAATCATGAGGGAGGCGCTACTCGCGCTCCCGTGTTAAACTTACACGCTCTAAGCGCGCGTGAGTGTAAAAGCACTCCCGGATTGGAGCGCAAAGAGGGAATTGGAGAACAACGCACAAATAGCGATCTTCGAATTTTAATAATAATAGTAATCGCAATCGTGTATGCATGCAACGTAAAACAAAAACAAACAATCGCAACGTAATTAGAAACGAGATTACGTTTAAAGCCAATAATTAATGAAATTTTGTCAGCCACCTTCACATACATGAGAAGCAACAATCAATAGATGTAATACTAACTAAAAATTCTTATTTTGATGTAATACTAACTAAAAATTCTTATTTTGAAATCAAAATAACAATTCCCTATACATGTAGCTAACAATTTGTACCTGAAAGAAGCCAATTTCCTTAGAAGCCATCCGAATATTGTTGATGATTTGGGGCCTAAGAGAAGGGCTTTGCAAGGAGGAGAGGTCAACAATGGGAAGAGTGGTAGAGAGCCTAGAGGAAGAAGGGTTTGGGCGTTGTGAAGGAGGAAGAACATAGCGTTGAGGCACATGAGGCACCCCCAATTGGGTAAGAGTGAGTGCACTTGTAAATGAAGCTTTTGTTTCTGCTCTTGATGATGAGCTCTTACCCACAAGGTGGCTTTCCATATTTTCTGTCTTTGATTTTTGAGAGAAAGAGAGGGAGAGGCTTCTGCTATATGTATACTATAGTTGTGATATGGGTGCTATATTTATAAGGTGAACTTAAATAGTAATGCTACTCTTACCACGTTTGTATATCACATTCTCACACCATCTTATGTCGCACATGAAGTGGATAGCCACATCACTTAAAAGTGTCAATAAATCATAAAACAAAAGAAAATGTTAAATTAGTTTTAATTGATATGGTTGTCCACTTCATCTGCCACATAAGGTGGTATGAGAATGTGATATACAAATGTGGTAAGAGTATCATTATTCATACTAAAAATGTTTTTTGCTTTTTTGAACAGTTGCAATGTATTGGGGAAGTTTGTATGGAATAATAGTAACACAAAAGTGCTTTGTTTTTTGGGGTACATAAATAAACGCAGCTTGAGTGAGGGAAGCATTTGGAACCAAGTGGTGCAAAATTTTGGGTTGATTTGATACAAGGCAGCCCATCAAGGCGGTGCTAAATTTCTGCTTGAAAGGGACCCACAAGTTAAATCTTGTTTATCTTTGTCTTTGTTTTTTTTTGTTTTTTAAATAAAATGTTTTGCAAATAATCTGCTGGAAAAATGGAGAGGAAAGTGAGCTGCTAAATTTTATGCAGGTGGGTGGGAGGAAGTGGAGGGAGTGTATTTCACGTGCCAGATGAGAGGGCTGTTTTGTAACGTCAGAGAGGTTTTAAGAAGAAAGAGAAAGGAAACGTCTGTTTCTGCCGTATTATATTGCGATGCAGTTAACCTATCATTTGACCAAATTACTGCAATAGCCTCCGGATTTCAAAAATCACAATGCAGTAATTTTTTTGTTTTTTTTTCATTCTATGGGTAGGAACATGTCTAGCTATGATATAGTTTGCCTCATCAATGGGCATGTACTTGAACAAAATTGTTATGCTTTTAGCATGAATTAGACCACTTCGCAGTCACAATTCATTATGATTTCATGAGGTAATTAAATTCAAGCATTTGTTCAATAACTATTTCGTTTTACGTTTTTTCTCTCTTTGTTAAAAAAATCCGATGTTGAAAGAAGATCATATGAGAGATGAGAAACTCTTTACGAGTTTGGGAGTTGGGAATAGGAAACATCTATCAGTAGAAAAGCAAATTCCGCTCAACTTTTACCAGGACACATGGTCATAATGTCTCCCAAATACCCTTAAACCCAAAGCACCAATTGATAGTAGATCCACAAAATCAACACCTCCATCCCTCAACAAGAAGATATAATGGAGATCCACATCATCAACCCCAAAATTGCAAATGACACCATAACAGATGCCAAAAAAGATAAATCTACACAAATCTACAAAGATCCAACTAAAAAGGTCAGTACAAACACCTAAGAACAAGTAGAAATGAGACGAACCTTGCAAAACACAAGGGAGAAAAAAGCCTAATGGATATACTAATGTTAACAGCTTTCTTAACCGAATTTGACTATCTCGCACGTAACATGTAGAGGCTTGCAATAATAATGTTATATCGCAGGTTGTAGTACATATAGTCATATATTTCATAGTTATATATTTATACACACACGCATATATATATATATATATAATATTTTCTTTTTTAATGTCATTAACGATCGGATAGTTCGGATTTTATTAAATTAGTTTCTTTTTTCGGTCTGAAAAATGAGTATTTTTTTACATACATATGCTTGTACATGTAGTAGGTAACGATGTTGTTAAACAATATTATATGTTATTTAGTATCAGATTTAATAACCTGTATTAGAGATATGATCAGCATCAATAAATGTGATAATAATGTTGTGGAACATCCTCCAACTATATATGTTAATTTAGCATATATTCCAATTAATCTGGACAAGCAATTTTGTTCAAGCAAGATGTAGAGAGACATGAGCATGGGGTTTTCCTTTTCCATTCTACAACTTTGGCCCATCAAGTCAACACCTTTTACTTGCTTGCCCAACCATAGCTAGTCACGTTGCTGCAAAGATCACCAAGGCAAATGCAATGCGGGTTTTTATGTCAAAACGATTTTCTTTGCATGTCCAACATTCTTATCCGAAGGATGGCTCAACTGTTCTTATTTCTATATATATATATATATATATATATATATAGAGAGAGAGAGAGAGAAACTTCCATCATGGATTTTGCTTCCATTCCATGCATGATGTGTGTGTATATTATGTATATATATACATACAATATGAGTTTGGAAATAATTATATTTGATTAGGTTTGAAGGAACCCTGATGGTGGGTAAAAGCAGCTGGCTATGGTCGTTTCATGCATGTGGGAAAACCAGCAAATGGTATTGAATTGATTTCAAGTTAGCTAGAGGGCCAAAAGCAGCTGAAATTTTTCGAAATCTAGTTAGATGTTTTATTTGAATACTTTTAGCTCTTTTTTTAGAGTTGTATAAAAATATAACATTTGTAGTAGTGTTCGAACTTCAACCACATTTGGTGATTAGAATTTGATTGAATTAGAAGGTGTGATTAGATTGAAGAGAATAATATAGTAATAAAATGTTGGATAACTTATATTATGAAAAAGTTGAAATACTTAATCTCACTACTCCGACCCCAATAACTCAGATCCTGGACATTGAGATTAGCAGTCGAGACCCGCCCGGGGACCTTCCCAATGACCCTAACACCTATGTCAATTAATCTAGCCCTTTAGACCTGTGCAACACCAAACCAAAATACACACGAAGGGATTATAATGGGGGTTTTTTTTATTTTTTATTTATAAAAAAAAATCAAATATATATATTCATTTTTAAGTACCAAATTATATAGAAGGGATTAGTGAATGCACAATTTCACCCAAGTGCTTTTGAATTTTTATTTTAAATGAAGTGGGAAAGTGTTTGATAAAATGCCTCAAAGAAACTTTTCATAAGCTAGAGGAGGTTGAGGTACACGTGTGTCCATGTAAATATTCCCAGCCACCTATCCCTCACCCTGACATGTCTAATATTAGATCAATGGATACGCAATCAGCTTCCTTCGAATAGAAGAAAGAAAAAAGCAGAAAAAGTAGTTGGCATTTGTGCGTTGCCTGAAAGATCAGCAATAAACCCTATTAGGCGACTATATTATATATGTATATATATATATATATATATTTTGTTGTTCAATTCTTTGGATCTATATGTAAGAATTTAAGGAAGGCCATTTATGTCGGCCTTAAAATCCGAGACTACTGACAAGTTAAGCTTCAGACCAGGCCAAGGTCCTAGGTTAGGAGATTTTGGAGGGCATGCATGCTGCAGCACAAAACCTGCAGATGACCACCCGCCATTTTTGTTCTTGTATCTTCATTTTAAACTGCATTTTGTTTGTATTAATGATGTAAGTGCCTTTGAATTTTGCAGGTTGCAGCAGATTGGCAGAGCAAGGGAGGCAGACATCATTTTCTAAAAAAAGAAATTTATTTATTCATTTTTAATTTACTTTTGGCCAGAACCAAATAAATAAATAAAAATTGATGAGGCTTAGGCTTCAAGTACTTTCTCACGTCCCCGTTGTGTTTGTAGCCTGTACCCTTGATCTTGTGCATGCAGGATTTAAAACCATAGAGAAAATTCATCATCAACATGTAACTGATCATCCCAAATTGATTTAAGGTCGAAAGACAGATGAAATTATAGCAATAAACAGAGAAGTGTAAGATCGTACTGGAATCGACTTCGGTTTTCAGGATTTGAGCAGTCTAAGACCAATCCTTGAACACGTTCATGAAATTCACAATCTTGTAGAGAAGAAGAAAGGCCATTTATGGCTAAAGAAGAAGAAATACAATAGAGAAAGCTCTGAATTAAAACTTCGTTAAAAGTTCCAAAAAAACATGGCCTCTGCACCCTTTAAGAAAACACAAGCTTTGTCTAAAGACTTGCTCTGTTAACGAGTTTCAATAGAATCATAACTACTTTAACTAATTAACTAAAAACGTTGTCTTAATCTTGATCTTATCCATAGTTCCAGAAAATGTTTCCAAAATATGATTCTCTACTTCACGCTTTGTGTAAAGATTGCTATGCCTATTATGAAGAGCAACCTCTGGTGTGCAAGTATAGTGCCTGTGTGCAGCTGCTGTTACTCAGATGTTGTGCCCGCAAGGAGTCATTTGGTAAACAAATTTCGACCTAGCATCATTCCATCAACGTTGACGTTCCTCCATAAGTTTGTACTACTTCATCGTCGCCTACTGCCAGATTCCTTTCTGTTATGCAATCATCAAGAAAGTAATCAAAAACATTAATTGATCATCAAAGCAAGTTCAGATGCACCAAAAATAGAAAGTAAATCACTACATTAAAGAAAGAAATAGAGGGGAGCACAATCTCTTCTTTTTCTTCCCTTAACATGTGAAGAAATCAATTTCGAAATAAAAGTCAGGCAGAAACAAAAATAGACAACATGGAACAGGTCACCACCACTTGCTGCCCTGCAGCAGAGATGCCATCTCCAAGATTTGAGCGAACTACAACTATTATGCCAAGGGTCATTTTTTATATTTAAGTTTTGCATATGAATCATGAAACATTAACTATCAGAAGCCTAAAGAACAAGATAAGACTAAAAGAAGAAAAAACAGTATAGGATTGTAGATGAAGCATTTGCATCAGATAGTGTATAGCATATACACATACCTCAGGAAGTCGAAGATGAATCAGTTTCTGAATCACTTTTGCAAGGATCCAGGCCCCGTGTTAAGTTCGGGAAATGAGGAATTTTAGGCCAACCTTCCCTGTTTCTTTGTCAATTCATTCCACCACACATTTTGGATGCGTAGGCGGCAAAGGTTAAGTTATCTCCACCACATGCTGCCATGATCCACATTATTGAACACATCAAGTTCCTCAGAACTACCTATCCTGAAGCTTTCAACTGTGCTAAGAAGTTGCCTAAGTTGCGTCAGGGACGTTCTTAGCTTAGGGCAGTACATAATAAACACATCCTCGAGATAAGTGATGCCTCACAGCCACTTCTCGGGCAGCGATTCTAAATCCTAGATCCCCTCAAGAGACAGAACTTCAACTGATCAGAAAGAGGGAAATGTTCTTGATTATCAGACTTCCTTTCAGTTGTCATGGTTAACAGTCTTAATAACATTTCATTGATATTCTTTAGATATAGTTCTTCAAATTGTGGATATAATGGGAAGGAAGTCAACTTAGGGCAGCCATTGATATACAAGTAAATGGTACGATGAAATGATGAGACTAATAGATGATGATGTTGCTGCTCAATTTTCTTCCACCATCCTCTCAAATTAGGAAATTTAGAGAGATTAAGCATTTTGAAGGATGGAAAGAATGCTGCTTTTTTTTTTTTTTTTTTTTTTTTTTTTTTTTTTCCAACTTCATATCCCCATCTTCACTTAATGACGATGGAGTTAAGTATGGACTCCCCATGGACATCTATTTAAGAAATAACATTAACACAACAACAAAACAGCACTCAAATAGTCCACAACAATTTAACGTTTGTTTTAAGCAAACAAAGATAATACAAACAAATCATAACAAACAACAATGAGAAATTTGAAAAGAAAAAAAAGGCTTAATACATGAACCGTTTGACTGAAAGCCTCCATATTGGAAAAAAAGGGTATCATGTTATACCAGAACTAGCTAGATGCAGGCTGAAGTAAACCAAAACAACAACTGGCTTTCGGCATATGTACACACTTCTACATGGGTACACATTCAAATTCAAATAAACAGAGTAATGGTTGGGTTTCTATCATTCAGAATCTTGATTCTACAGAAAGTACAGAATATTTGCATCCCTCCTCCATCCTCCAGGCAAATACCAATATGAAAATGAGTATCATATCGATACCTTGCAAAACATTGGATGCATTTCGTTAGCATGTTATCAAATTTTTTAAATTTGCTTTAAAATATAGGTCCTCATATGATTCATATCATATCATCTAAATATATGAGGGGAAAAAAAAACATTTTCAGAGTCGCTCATCTACCCTACCATCATCCATATACTAAGAAAAAGCAACATCCCAAGGGAAAAGTTTCATTTCCTACTGATTAAATTTTGATATAATATAGCATTATATATGGACTAAGTCTTGAATATTAATTCTTTCCAAAACACTTTGATATCAAAAAAAGAAACAGAGAAAACCCAATTCAAGATTCCCAATCAATCAGCATTATTTACAGTAAAAGTTAGGCACCCATCTCAGGCGGCCAAGGCTGCCAAGAAACGAAGAAAAGAAAAAACCCAAACCCCAATTCAATCACATCATACAAACAGAAACCACCAAATAACTCAACCAAAAAAAAGTAAAATAAATTCATAAATTCATTTCTAAATGTCAAATAAACTGGGCGGTTGAGAGTTTACCTGGGAGAAATACAGATTGGAGTTCGACAGAAACTAGGACTGCTACTGGGTGAGTTTGGCACGACAAACGGACTATTTCTTCATCCAAATTCCAAAGCTTTGATTTTTTAGGATTTCATTGAAGTTATTAATTTTTAATTTTATTTGGAAGAGTAAAATTAACCCTTTTTATTTTTAATAAGATCTTCTTACTCTTATTTAGTTGAGATAATTTTTTTTTCTTTTGGCAACAAATGTAACAATAGCTTTTGAATTGACCTCGATTTGTATTTGCATCCCTGAATTACGATAGTTACTATAGTCATCAAATTAGGTCACATTTTACACTCTGACCACTACACATGCAAGTCATATATTTGTAAAGATATATATATATATATTTATAGTTATAAAATGGAGTTTAAGTGGATAAAATTGGAGTGGAGAAATCATCACTTTTTTTAAAAGGCAAATAAAAATTTTACCGAGCCCCTGCTCTTACTGCCCCTCCACCTCCACTTCAAGTCATATTGCAAGTACGCAAAGCCTAATTTGAGAACAACATTAACTATTATTAAAATTTATGGACGAAAATGCAAATCGATGTATAATTCAATAGCCAAGGTTACAATTTAGCCAACAAATAAATTAGCTCCGTTGCTGCCGTCCCCATCTTTGGGTATCGCCAGGCAATATTCAATAAGCCCTTATGAGGTATAAGAACGACTATTTCAAAAGAAGAAAAACAAAATTAAACTATTATATCATACTCACCTCATAAACAACAAAATTATAAATTAATTGAATCTCGTAGAATGTTTCAATCATTAGGAATTTGCCTATTGCGATTATGAAATAAGGTCAATAAGAAGATAGAATTATTCAAATCATGACACATTGCAGGAAATTGCGACGGCTAGTTGATTTACGCGAATGAGTCTCCACATTGTATATATATTTATAATATATATATCTTTTATTGAGGGATTCCTGAAATAAATATATTTGAGGAACATCCTTATATGACCCATTTCGTATTGTATTTTACTAATCCAAACCTTCTATTTTGTAGATACTCATTCAAAAATCATTTCTACATAAAAATAACTTGAATCTGATATCATTTGATCACTCAATTGAATTAATGAAATTTTAATACTTTATTAAACTACCGTGTTTATTGATTTTGTATGACATAATTGGATATCGAAATAGTTTCCGATTTGTCTAATTTTTTGCAATGATGATCTATGAATGCAAACTTAAAAAATAGATTGTTTCGATCATTGAAAAAATATTTGTAAGGGACTCTAAAGGGTGTTCCTCAAATAAAATTATTTAAAAAACCTCTTTATATATATATATATATATATATATATATCCTTATCCTATATAAACTACCAACGTGGACTGGTCATAGCTGATTTTTGGCTTCGAAGTTATGTCATTGAAAATAAAACAAGAACATGGCTATATTAGTAGAATAATGCACGCTTTAACAACTCCATCGGTTTCCTTTAGTTTTTACATAGTCAACAATCATTTTCCCAGTATAACAAATACCTTTTTCTATATTTGAAGAGGTGTGGTGGGTTCAAGGTTTACCTAATCTCTAGATAATGATGTACCTTATCTCGTGTTAGGTGGCAATACTAAAGAAATTATAAAAATAGAGTTATAAGTGGTGAAATGTTGCATGTATAAAGGTAGGGGTGGTGAGTATGGTCTAGATTGGATTGATTTTATCATAAAATCACAACTGAATCTATTATAATAAAATAGTTTAGTTCGTTTTAGTTTTGACAAAAAACCACTAAGGAACCTAAACTAAACCAAACCAATTTTGGACAATTTAGTTCGACAAGTTTTGGCCCAAGTACAATCCTTTTTTCTTTTACATTTTTCAACTTTGTTAGCTCAATTACAACATAAAAAAAATCATAACTTGCTATAATTTTTCATTTTCTAACACATCAAACCACCCTAAAATTCAACATGTCATGAAACTTCAACGTCAATAACTAATATTGTTACAATTCAAGGATCAATTTTCAAAGTTCCATTAAACTTCAAATTAATTAACATACTTATCTAAATATTATTCAATAAGAGAATTGCACATGTAAAATAAATACTAAAAAGACAGTTGAATTCGATTTACGTCAGTTTATTAAACCTCGCAACTAATCAAAACATATATGATTTTGTTCCGTTTTAAACCGTTTTGACTTTTTACTACCAAAACCCAACCAAATTGGACATTATAATTCAGATCGGCCGTTTTGTCAATTCGGCCGGATTGATGGAGATATGTATTGACCTTGTGCTTGATTGGGTAGAGTTGGGGCTTTTGGCTGTCTAGCTTCATAATAATTTACAAGTAAACTTTTTAATGAAGAAGAAAGATTCTGAATGTGCAACACCTCCACTAAGCCCATACCAACTAAACTTTTATATAATTGTTTCGGCAGCAAGAAAATGGTATGCACTTGAACCAAATAAAGGTATTATTTGGTAGGTGAATGACTTTCCTTTTATTGTATATTACGAACAACATCTTGTACCTTCACCTATAGCTGTCTATATATGACCATGTTTGCATTTTTAAAGCTCCTCAACTCTCTCTCTCTCTCTCTCTCTCTCTCTCTCTCTCTCTCTCTCTCTCTCTCAAACACAGAGAAGACTTGAGACATGGCCATTGCAACAGCTCTAGTAATTTTGCTGCTTGCAGCCCCAGCAGTTTATGGAGTGCAGCACACTGTTGGTGACGCAGATGGCTGGGAATCAAATGTAGATTATGTCACTTGGGCTGCTAGTAAAACCTTCACTGTTGGTGACACTCTTTGTAAGCTCTTTCTTTCTTACTGTTAGTCAGATCTATACAACTGAAATTAAAATCCATATTTGTTTTATTTTTGGGATTCTGAGAGTGAATAGATTATTAAATTAAACTCATCTAACGGCACATAACGTAGTGGTGTGATTGTTTTAATTCTAGTTTACTTTCGATCAAAATTTGGGTATGGGCACTTGGCGAAATATGAAACATGTTATATATGTGTGTCAATTTGATGTAACACCTGCTGACCAAATTTTTTTATCTTACCAGTGTTCACCTATGGTGCTTCCCACTCAGTGGATCAAGTAAATCAAGCAGGCTACAGTAGTTGCAGTTCAAGCAATGCCATCGGAACCCATAGTGATGGGAACACATCAATCCCCCTCTCACAAGCTGGTCCAGTCTATTTCATCTGCCCTACTCCAGGTCACTGTGCCAATGGCATGAAGCTTACAGTCACTGTTGTGGCAGCTGGCAGCCCCCCTACCACTTCTCCCACCACTCCATCTCCACCAGCCACAACCCCGTCTCCACCCACCACCACTCCGTCTCCGTCCACCACTCCTGCCGGCAATAATGGTTCGTCCCCGCCACCCCCGCCACCTTCCGGAGCCGCAGCTCTTAGCATGAATATGCTTGGGGTTCCACTTGCGATGGCAACCTTGGTTGCATTCATGGGCTAGGGAGGAGGCAGTGCGGTTGATCTTTTTCTTTCTTCTTTCTAATAATTGACCAGACATTTGTTATGTTGTATTGTGTTGAATTGGTGTGATGTTAGATGAGAGATGTTAGATTTTTTATGTTTATAATATTATATCATATTCTGGATGGACGACAATTGGTTGTTCTTTTTGTTTCTGTTATTCTAATTGTATGTTTTAATCTTTAGCACTTTGCATCCATCACCAATTAAGTAACGCGTTTGACTTAATCAACCGGCCAAAGAACCTAACCCAAAAACTAATGGAATTTCATGATAATAAAACAAGAGAACAAGAGTGCTTTTCTACAAACCTAGCATTTATCCAAGTTATCCACCAAACTATAATCTTGTCCAAGATTTCTCCTTTTTTCCCTTTTGACTTAGAATTTAAGAAGAAGAAAAAATAACACACACACAAAGAATTGTTGTTACAAAACGTCCATGCAGTTAGGTTTTGTCAAAAAAATCCATTAGTTTGCTAATGTGGCATTATATGGAGCCCACAAATCTAATAATATTATGTTATGCGAATTTAAATGTTTAAAGAATTAAAGAATTTCAAAATGGAAAAATTATTTTTTAAAAATTTAATTAAAAATGTTAAAAAAATTAGTGAACCTAATGGAATGGACTATTTGTGAACACGTATATTAACCTTGAGAATCACAAATGACAAAAAATACAAAAAAGAATGCAACCTGATAGTTTCCCGACCCTCTTGAATGTTTTGTAATAAAAAACCTCTACCAAATTAAAAATAAATAAATTTGATGACCTACCCAGCCAGCCCAATACACTGCATCCCCATTAGAACCAGCCCAACAAGAGACATATCAATTTTTTGGGCTGGACCTATAAAAATTCATTCGTAGTTAGATCCAGCACAATCCACAACATTCAACCCACCCAACCTCTCCCTTTTTTATTAGCTAAAAATCCTAAATCTAAACCCTTTCCTCGTTCCTCCTTCATCTAACAAGAGAGAAAAAAAACAGAGACAGAGATGGCTGGTGAGGAAGAGAACAGCGAGTTCTACCTGAGGTACTACGTGGGGCACAAGGGCAAGTTCGGGCACGAGTTCTTGGAGTTCGAGTTTCGACCCGACGGGAAGCTCCGCTACGCCAACAACTCCAACTACAAGAACGACACCATCATCCGCAAGGAGGTCTATGTCACGCCTGCTGTTGTCAGAGAGTGTCGTCGTATCATTTCAGAGAGCGAGGTCTGCAACTCCTAATTTCTTTGTTTTAATTACTTATGATCTCTCTCTCCCTCTATTGGTTTTTGTTGTTGGGTTTTAGGGTTTATGGTATTTTGTTAATTAATTTGTTGAAAAAGGGTTCGTATTTGTACAATGTCCGTAATTTCCTACATGGAAAGAAGAAACACTAATTTGGAGTAGTATATGATCTCATAAGCACCCTTCCCTTGCAAACCGGTTTTGCTAGGGCAACCCCCCTGAGCCAGGGTGTGTTTATATTTTGGAATTTGACCATGTGGGTTTGTGTTTGTTTTGGGAAATTTTGAGGGGGTCGGGTGTATTTTATTTATTTAAGGGAATTTAGTTGTGTGAATTTGTGTTTGTTCTGGGAAATTTTGATGGGTTGGAGTGGAATTTGGGTTTGTGGGATTTCCTGTGTTTGCTTTCTCAGAATGTGAGGAGGGAAAAGATGTGGAGTTTCGGTGTAAGCTTGAGGAGACTTTTAGGGTTGGAGGGTTTTGTGGTTTTCATGTCTATTTCCTCAGAGAACTGAGGTCGAAGAGAATAAGATGGGTTGAGTTTGTAACGTGGGCTTTCATTTGTCTTGTGTAAGAGACATGCATGCATTTCATTTTATGACTGTTATAGTCGTGGAATTGAGGGCTTAGGATTTTCTATTTCGTTGTTGAGGAGTCAAAGGAGATTGAGAAAAAATGAGTTATTTATGTGTTTGGTTCTTGTAAGTAATAGATCAGTAGTTGTTTATAGATGTAATTTAATCTATGGTTTCAGTATTAATTTTTCTTTCAAGTTTCCTGGTTTCCTGTGTGGAGGTTGAGAGAAAAGTGGAAAACTTGAGATTAGGGAAACAGTAAGGACAGTTGCGACTGTTCAGTTGTAACTGACTGTCGAGCTCCCGAACCATGACATGCATGGATGTTTATGATTGGACAGTTATCACCAGGCTTAACTTTCTTCTTGAGATTATGAATGTCTTTTCTGTATTGTTATGAGATAAGATATGATTTTGCTCCTCTCACCATATTTTTTATTTTGTCTGGATAAGGAAGAGAGTTATGTTCAAAAGGTGGCATGGGGTACATCCCATTTATACTATAAGCATACATAAAAATCTAAAATAGGGCAGCAGAAAGTCATATTCTCCTCTACTTTTTGGACCAAACAAGTAGACTGGTGAAACCTAAACTGTGTTGAAGAATGCTCATTGCTTCAAAAGCAAAGCTTTTATCTCTAGCCAAAGGCACCAAAACATAGATTAATCACCCTTCTATGCAATTATTTTAATTGAAAATTTTCTCTATAGTTCTTCAGAGTTCAGAGTCCGTTTGTTTACAAATAGTCTGGTTGCTGACACAAAGGAGGCAAATATTAGAGAAAATAAACTTCATAAGTTTCCTGTTTTCAGGTGATAATTTGGAAAACAATTGTAGCTTCTGGTTTCCTGATGTTGTTTGTGACTGTTGTGATTTGATTTTATTGAATTAACATTTCTGTAGTTTGGGTTTCTCTGGAATCTTGCAAGCAATCTGAATTGTCTTCTTGTGTTAGTTAAAGTTCACACCATTTGGATTTTGGGAATCAAGATCAAGCAAATCACCTCTAAATGGTGGAAGTTCTTTTTCTTTCCAATTCAGCAATAAGAATTGAAAGAGTTGGGTGGCACTGTGGCATTAGCTATGTCTTTTGAAATGATGGAAAACAAATGCCCATTAATTGTATCTTTACTGAACAGTGGAAGTGCTTACCAAAAAGAAATTACACCGTGAAAATTGTTTCTCAGACTCTGGTTAAACTAATTGTAGGATTGTTACCCTTCATGTTGACTTTTCGTGCAAATTGATTGATATATTCTTCCCAGAATTTGGTTAGTGGAGTGTCGTTGTCCTGGTTTCCTAAATTGGTTACATTTTTGCCTATCTTTAGATCTTGAAGGAAGATGATGTCAACTGGCCAGAACCTGACCGTGTTGGGCGGCAGGAGCTTGAAATTGTAATGGGGAATGAGCATATCTCCTTTACTACTTCAAAGATTGGATCCCTTGTTGATGTCCAGAGCAGTAAAGATCCTGAAGGTCTTCGCATCTTTTATTATCTTGTTCAGGTTAGTTGATTTACACTTTCATTTTATGGTATTAAGATTGCCTTTCCTTTTCTGGATTCATACTGTATATATAGGGATCGATGGTTTTTAGCTCGCTCTTGTCAGTGCTGGTGTTCTGACTCAATGTGTAAATTGCTGTGTGGTGTGAACTTCTTTGGTCGAAATTTGTTTCTACTATTAATGGATTCTTCTTCACTTATATGTCTTAGAAAGAGAGAACGAATTATGCTAGTCTGTCCACTTAAGTATTCCATTTATGAGTCGAGACATCCTAGTTTTTTACCCTCTTATACGAGTTTTATTTTGACTTGATTTCTATTGTTTATGTCTGTCAGTGACTCAGCATGAGGTTTTTTTTAACCCAACACTGTTTCTCAATTATGCTTGTATTTGATTGCAGGATCTGAAGTGCTTTGTGTTCTCACTCATCTCTCTCCACTTCAAGATCAAGCCTATATAAGATGCAACGGAGTATCAAGTGCCTGCCAGACAAGTTGCATTCATGGGTTGTGTATGCTTTTCCATAGAGTTGACATTTTTACCATGTAGGCCTAATCATTGACAGTTTTTGTAATTTTTGGTACTTGGATGATTATGAGACTATTAAAAAAATGATTATGAGAGGGGATTTCGGAATGTATGCCAAAATGGAATGCTAGAGTCTGCAAACGCTCTAGATTTTCAGTGCATTCTCCTGTGTGCGTGTGTTTTCGGGTTGCAGCAGTTGGGTCTCAAATCGGATTGATATAGTTTTAAACCCTTATTCTGGAATTTTATATTATTAGCTTGACCATTATGTCAAGTGCTGGCAGGGGGGGTTTTTTTTTAATAAATAGTTTAGCCGCCCGGCTTTACTGGGGTCCTTTTTTGTTTTACGGAAATGATTTTTTTATTAATAGTATTGCCGTGCGGTTATACTCTTGACATAGATAATGTATTTTTTTTTATAAAATTTATAATTGTTTTCCCCGATTTTTGTTTATGGATTAGAGTGGTTTAGAGCATTATTTATTATTATTAGGCTATTACCCGAGTCTCTATTGTCCCCTTTTGAGTTTCTACTTTTCCAGAGTTATTATATGTATAAATGATTTACATTTTCACTTGTAATACTTGTATTGTACACATAAGTACATATTTTTCAAATTTAGTACACTTGTTTTTACAAAATTTTCAATAATACACACAAAATACTCACATTTTATTGAAAATTTTTTTTAAAAAATGAAATGCTAATTATTCACTAAGTAAATAATAATTAAAACATAACAACTAATTAAAGTAATTAAAAAGGAGAAACTCATAATTCAATTGGTATGGCCGTGCGGCTATACTTTTAAAAATTCTGCTTATAGTGTATAGTCGAGCGGCTATACTCTGTGCACAAAAACACGTTTCAAGCGGTAGCCGGTTTTTGTTTTATTTTTTTTATAATAAATAATATAGCCGGGCGGCTATATGCCTATTTTTTAAATATATAAATAAGAGTAAAGCCGTTCGGCTATACCGGGGTCCTTTTTGAAATTCCTTTTTATGAATAGTACAGCCGTGCGGCTATATGCTTTACATAGATAATGTGATTTTTATTATTATTTATAATTGTTTTTCCCCAATTTTTGTTTACAACCAAAAACGCAGAGGAAAGATTTGACGTCGAATACTTTCTCATATTCATACTCAGACAGAAAGATGCCTTGCTATTTTTGTATCATCAGAAAAACGAGGGTGCTTTGAGTTTTAGTCATAACTACTAATTAAAGAAATTAGAAAAGAGAAACTCATTCAATGGGTATAGCCGCACGGATATACGTTAAAAAAAAATTTCTTTCTCTATAATGCAGCCGTGCGGCTATACCGTTCAAATATACACCGTTTCAAGACCTGGCCGGAATAAATAGAGCCTCCAGATTTTTATTACGTAAAAAAGGGTATAGCCGACCGGCTGCAATGGGGTCCCTATTTTTTTAAATTCTGTTTTATGAATAGTAGAGCCGTGCAGCTATACTCTTTACATGGATATCAGCAACAATAGATTCTAAGCGAACAGATTGATTCTCATAAAGAATCTTGATAAAGTATCCTGATAGGGGTGGTGGGAATATATTAAAAGCCAAGATGCATTGCTATTTTTGTGTCATCAGAAAAACGAGGTGCTTTGGGTTTTATTCATGTTATCTACACCCAAAATGGTGGTCTGCACTGCACACCCTTATTATGTGAGAGGTTATTAACTTTTTAACTTCCTTCGTTCAAGTTTTTGCTGCATTTTGGTTGTTCCTCTTGGACATAACTCTTTGGTTCTCATCAAACATTCAATTTTTTATCTGTAAATACAGTTTCCAGTTAGTTAGGAAATGAATATTAGTCGAAATTCATGAAAGGAAATTATATCTGTTTTAGTTTCACAGAACCTGGCTATCCATATGTATCATTGCTGATTTTCTCTAAAGTATCTCACAGGATTTTGGCATCACTTTCTGGGAAAATTTGTAAATATTCTTAGCTCATAGTGTCTGCATATGTGTGTGGTCAGGTTGTTTAATGGCCACCTTTTACATTCATGATAGATGTGGAATCTAGTGAATTGGAGAAATATCATGCTTCTTGTTGCTGATGATGATTTTTTCTTTCTTTCAAAATTTTCAGAATTTCATGTGATGGTGCATGAATTGAAGTCATTGAAACATGGTTCTGGCAATGCAGGGAAAGAACTAAATGACCCATGGGTGCTAACCGATGTTGGTGATGTTCCTGCCTGTCCAAGAAATTCGAGATTGTGGAGTTGAAGATGACAGACTGATGAATGTCATAAGTGTGAGCTAGTGATGGAACAGGTAGGTTTTAATGTCTAGAAGCTTCCAGTTAAAAAACTACTGCAATTGTGCCACGCGTAAGTCCTTCCAGCTCAAGGTTGTGGGTCTGCCCTAGTGCTGGTGGTTAGAGTAGCCAATCTCCTCTATTTTTTTTTCACAAAAAAAAAAAAAAAACACAAAAACATAAACTACCGCAATTATTTATTTTAGGTGAAAAAGAAAGCAATTTTAAATGATTTCTGTGAAAAATACTACTTCAATTCTGCTTGTTATGTTGGTATAATAAGTTGAGGCCGCTGTTAAATGACTTGGTACACTTACAGTCATGCCCAGTTCACTGAAAATTGGTGGAATTTCCTTTTATTTAATCACTTATCTGCTGCAGGCACTGTTAAATGACTTGGTACACTTATAGTCATGCCCAGTTCACTGAAAACCGGAGGAATTTCCTTTATATTTAATCACTTATCTGCTGCAGGCTTATGATTATATCTCACCAGTTATGCACTTCCCTGTTTTGGTGCAATTCATATAATAAAATGACTAGATGTCAACTACATTGACCATTGGGTGCCTATATTTCATTTTTAATTGGAGACGTTACTAGTTTAGTGTGAACCTATGAAGAACTTTTCAGAAAACTTCATTATGCATTACTGCACTAGGAAATAGGAATCCCTTGTACTGATTAACAGTACTTATAACCACACTTTTTCAGAAATATAGAGTTCTTCTTGTCAACAAGATTCTAAATTTGTACAGTTCCTGAAATAATAATTATTTCAATACTTTTGGGTCAGTGTCATTATTTCTCATAAAGCTTATAAGTTATATCATAGGATTACTTTTCAAAAGTGAGAAAAATACTTCATTGGTTAAGTTACGGAAGTTGTCAAACTAAAACTTCAGTATTTCCTTTCTTAATTGAAGTTTTTAACCGCTGTGAAAGTGGAAGCCGGTTTGGAGTTACCACATTGTTGGAGATCCTCCTGCCAATTTGTGTGTCTAAGTTGTATGAAGGTTGTGAAAAATGGTGGAAAGGACCCTTAGTCATTGCATTTATGGCAAAGGATTTCTCATAGTACCTCGTTTACCTTCATATGTCAGGCAAACTCAAGTCCCAACTTTTTGTGCTTTCATACTGGTGCATTAAATTTTTGAAACTGGGCAAAACATTCCATCGGAGAAAGATGGGCATACTTAATAGCATATTGAAATTCAAACTCAGGATTGTATTTTATATTGTGATAGATTACTTTGAAGATCTCAAAGAAATGAAAGGTCAGTTGCCATCAGTGGGTAGCACAAATGTCCTGATGTCAAGTTATTTTGAATCTTACACCAACCTAGTTGATATTTGGCTGAACTTCAGTCTGGAAAATGATCTGGCATATGTTCTTAGTTGCGCAATTTGTTTCCTGGAAAGACTGAGAGTACTCTTTCATGGGAATGTTATCCTTATTTGGTTGAGACCTTTCATTCCAGTGAATATATGTGTATATCGGCTACCTTTAGGTTTTATGGAAGAACCTCTAATTGTGTCCATGTTCTTTCAGGATCCACTGCAGCCATTAGTATTAGGTGGTGATCACTCAATTTATTATCCTGTTGTAAGAGCAGTCTCTGAGAAGCTTGGAGGACCTGTGGATATTCTTCATTTTGATGCCTATCCTGATATCTATAACGCCTTTGAGGGTAATGAATCACGTGCTTCTTCTTTTGCTCGAATTATGGAAGGTGGTTATGCTCGGCGGCTTTTGCAGGTAAATTTTTATCTGTAAATACGCCGTATGTTTATACCTCATGGCTTGCTTTCCCACTTCATTAGGAAATGATTATTAGTCCAAATAACAAATTGATGAAAAGGGATTAGTCACAACCTTGTATTTTTTTTAGTCACAATCTGCGGTAGGCTTATGATTATATCTCACCAGTTATGCACTTCTCTCTTTTGGTAGAGATGAATACTATGCTCAGCTAGCTTGATAACTCTGAGACCAGCTTTGCCATTTGATTATGTTATTTTCTAAAAGTTGAATTTTTTTACCTCAATTCACCAAGTTTTGATAGATCCAAACTGTTTTTCCTTGTTTATAAATTGTTAGTGGAAGGTGATGTGTTTCAAAAGCTTTAGTTTATTGGGCTGAACTGAGTTTGAGCAGCAATTAGTTGAACTACAATATGTTCAATTCAGTTGCACATGACATGTAGTCTTATTCCTTTCATAACCTTGAAATCTTTATCAGTATGACACAATCGCTTGTAATATTCTTATACTTTGAAACTCAGCTTTCTTAGAAGTATAATTTGAAGCTGAGCTGGTACAATTCCTATTTTAAATGCTTAGATGTCAAGAAACTGGCCTGCCGAATGATGCCATTTGAGGCCTCAGATCCTATATTTCCTTTTCAATTAAAGACTTTACTAGTTTAGTACAAACTGTTAAGACCTTTTCGGAAAACTCAATTATGACTGCACTACGAATGGCAATCCTCTGCACTGATTATCAGTATTTATAACTACACTACTTCAGAAATATAAAATTCCTCTCAACAAGATTCTAAATTTGAACCATTCATGAAATAATCATTAGTTCATTGGAATACTCTTGGGCCAGTGTCGTTTTTTTACCGAGAATTGTCATTTTTGTAAAATGTTAAATTCAGTACATATGGCATTTGGCCAATTTCTCAAAAAATATCATAGGGTTACTTTTCAAAAGAGAGAAAAGTACTCCATTCGTTGAATTACCGAAGGTGTCAAACTAAAACCTCAGAATTACCTTTCTTTACTGAAGTTTTCAACTTCTATGAAAGGGGAAACCAGTTAGAAGTTACCACTTCGTTGGAGATCCTCCTGCCAATTTGTGGGAATAATGTTTTACTAAGTGTCTAAGTTGTATATGGGTTGTGAAAAATGGTGGAAAGGACCCTTAGTCAGTGCATTTATGACCCAACTATTTGTGTGCATGAATTTTTTGAAACGGGGCAAAACATTCCATATTGAAATTCATATGGGCACCACTTAATATCATTTTGAAATTCAACCAGAGTGGTATACTATACTGTGATGCATTACTTTGAAGATGTCAAAGAAAAATGAAAAGTCAGTTGCCATCAGCGGGCAGTGCAAATGTTCTTATCCTGCGCCCATTTATGAGTCGAGAAGCCCTAGTGTGTTACCCTCTTATACGAGTTTTATTTTGACGTGATTTATTGTTTATGTCTGTCCGTGACTCAGAGTTTTTTCACCTGACGCTGTTTCTCAATTATGCTTGTATTTGATTGCAGGATCTGAAGTGCTTTGTGTTCTCACTCATCTCTCTCCACTTCAAGATCAAGCCTATTGTGGTAACCAAATTAAGTCAAAACCCTAGGTCAAATAATTCATTCCATTTGGGGATTATTTGACCTAATTGGGAATTAATCAACCTAATTGGGAGTTACTCAATTTAATTGGGGGTTACCCAATTAAATTGAAGACTACCTAATTGGGTTGAGAATTGATTCCTAATTCCTACCCCGATTCTCAATTAAATGAGGAGTTACCTAATTGAAATGGGATTTGATTTGATACCTACCACAATTAGGGATTTGATTTACCCTAATAAATCAAATCCCTAATTAATCAAATCAATTCCATAAAGGGGAGGAATAATTCCCTTCCATCTACGGAATTATTCCTCTGAAACCCTAGCCTCCAAGACCATTATAAAAGGATGGCCACACACAAGGGTTGAGGTACGTCTAAATTCCTACTGAAACTCTGCAGAAATCATTTCTCACAAACCCTAGCCACCACTTTCTTTCTCTCCCTTACACAAGGCTCCGGCCACCCGGTTTTCCTTGAAATACCTTACCTAACTTAGGCATTGGAGGGCCCTTGGCCAACACCCCCCGGGTGTGGTCATTTTACTCCGATCTGTTTTGCAGAGAGAAAGAGAAGCAGAGAAGACGAAGGAATCTTTGACGAATATTCTCGTGGGGAAAATCATTCCCTCCAAATTGGTGCTTTCATTGAGAGCACGAGTTATACTCAACGCGTGCTCAAGGAATCCGTTCCTCCTATTTTCCAATCCACCGAAGCCTTCCAAACAACCATGGTTGGAAGCATGAAGACGAGAGGCAAAACCGCCGCGACGGCTAAATCCGCGACGGCCCAAAGCCACTCCGCCCACGATCCCGCGATCGACATGGTGGCCCCACCACCTCTCACCACCGCACCGGCCACCGCCGCCGAACATGGTGGAACCTCCTATCAAGGTGGGCTTGTTACCACCGCCGACTTAGGCCCGGTCTTGGAGCAACTTCAAGCGTTCCCTCCATTGCCTCCACGCTCGACACATGCTCCTGCGCACGCCTAGGCAGCGCAGACGAGAAGGTCGACACTCGCAGACCCAGGAGGAGGTCAGTCAACGTCGCCCGAATCACGAAGGTCGCCAACGTGATCGACCAACAATGTGCATGGAGGACGTCGAGAAGCTTATGAATGACCGACTTCGAGATCTGAAGACTGGTGGGAACCTCGACGATGCACTATGCAAGGAGATCGACCAGGCAAACTCCACACCTTTCACTGCCGAAATCGAGCAGGCTGCTCCCCCGAAGCGATTCTCCACGCCTTCGTTTACACACTTCAAAGGGGACTTCGATCCCGAGAGTCACCTAAAACACTTCAAAAGTGTCATGATCCTCCACAAGGCCGACGACGCGTTGATGTGCAAGGTATTCGTAGTGACCTTGCGAGGAGCAGCCCAAGATTGGTTCCACACCCTGCCATCTGGGTCGATCAACAGCTTCAAGGAGTTGGCTTACGTCTTCACCAAAGAGTACACCTCCTACCGGACGATCAAGAAGAACCCTGACCACCTGTACAACCTGCGCAAGAAGTCCGACGAATTCCTTCGAGATTACATCAAGAGATTCAAAGCAGAAAAGGCCAACATTGTAGGATGTGACGACCGGATTGCATCATCTGCTTTCAAGAAAGGCCTCCCAGCTGAACACGACTTGTACCGCGAGTTGACTATCACTCCCAGCCAGACTCTGGCAGAGGTCTACGAGACCGCGGAACGCTACGCGCTCTGGGATGACGATCGAATCGCCGCAAAAAAGTCTACTAAGCAGGAAGATCAACCGACTAAGCGGGCAGGTCAAAGAAGCGATGGATTTAGCAACAAGAACAAGGATAAGCGCAGGTCACACCCACAAGGAGACGCTACAGCAGGAGAGAACTACACCAAGTTCACCATCCCCATACATCAAATCTTAGCCCAAGTGAACAACAAACCTTGGGTAAGAAGACCGCCACCCTTGAAAGGAGATCCAGACAAGAGGGATACAAGCAAATACTGTGCCTTCCATGGAACACACGGGCACACTACCAATAACTGCCTCGCTTGGAAAGCACACCTTGAAGAACTCGTAAAAGAGGGTCACTGCACGGAGTTCATCGCGAAGCAGGCCATCCAGCGGATTGAAGATCGAGACACCGCCAAGGAACCGCCCCAGAAGGTCATAAGGATTAACACAATCCTAGCCGACGCCAAGGAGTCAGGACTGACCAGCAAGGAAAAGAAGAGGAAGATCAAACAGGCCACTATGATCTCCCAAGTCTCGACTGACCTTCCACCAACAGAAGACGATCCTATAATCGGCTTCCAAAAGAAAGATCTGATCGGCCTCGACATGCCACATAACGATGCCCTTGTCATCAGCATACAAATCGCTCAGGCCATGGTCGACCGAATCCATGCAGACGAGGGCAGCGCAGCCAATATCTTGCAACTGGCTGTCATCCAGCAGATGGGCTTGGAGGCAAAGATCAACAAATCAGCCAGATCGCTGACCGGCTTCAATGGCGCAACAACGGTTACCGTGGGCACAATAGACCTTGACGTCTACTCCCCACCTGTAGTCTGCTTGCAAACGTTCATGGTCATTAATGAGGTCTCACCCTACAACGGCATTCTGGGCAGGCCATGGATCGGCATGATCAACGCCATCACCTCTGCCACACATCAGAAAATTCGGTACCCAATCCTTGGGGGCGGTGTTGGACAAATCAACAGCGATCAGGCAATGGCAAGGAAATGCTCCGCCCAAGGGCTGAAGAAAAGCAAGCAAGCGCAGTTCCTCCCAGTAAGCCAGGCAGATTTGAAGGAGGTGGAACAATCGAACCTTGCTATCTTATAGCAATCAAAGCGTCAGGACCAAGCCGAGGAAATCCGTCCAGAGGTCTTTCCTGAAGAAGGATGGAAGCCCGAGGAGGACATCGAGTTAATACCCTTGGATCCTGACCAGCCAGACAAAAAAGCGCGGATCGGCTCGCGCCTAAGCCCAGACGAGAAGGTGGAACTTACCACTTTCCTCCAGAACAACAAAGATATGTTCGCATGGTCGCCGTCAGACATGCCTGGTATCGACCCAAACATCATATGTCACCGACTCCACGTCAACCCTGCCTGCAAACCAGTGGCGCAGAAGAGGCGCAACTTCGCACCCGAGCGGGTCGCCATCATCGAAGCCGAGATTGATAAACTCCTAGCCGCCGGCTTCATTGAAGAGGTCTCCTACTCAGAGTGGCTCGCTAATGTTGTTCTAGTGGCAAAACAAGAGAAGGGAAAGTGGAGAGTCTGCGTCGATTACACCGACCTCAACAAAGCGTGCCCAAAAGACAACTTTCCATTGCCAAGAATTGACCAACTAGTGGATTCCACTTCTGGCAATCAGCTACTCAGCTTCATGGACGCCTACTCCGGCTACAACCAAATCTTGATGCACGAGGATGACGAGGCGAAAACTTCTTTCATCATCGAGAGAGGGACCTACTGCTACAAGGTCATGCCTTTTGGGCTGAAAAACGCCGGAGCAACCTACCAAAGACTGGTGAACAAAATCTTCAAGGAGCAGATCGGCAAAACTATGGAGGTGTACGTGGACGACATGCTGGTCAAGGCCCCAAAACGTGCAGATCACCTCAAAAACCTCGCTGAGGCATTCAGCCTGCTCCGCCAGTATCGCATGAAGTTGAACCCAAGTAAATGCACATTTGGTGTATCCTCCGGCCGATTCTTGGGATACTTAGTCACACAACGAGGTATCGAGGCACACCCACGTCAGATCAAAGCTATTCTAGAGATAAAGTCGCCTTCCACAGTGAAGGAAATACAAAGTCTGACGGGCAGAGCAGCGGCCCTCAACCGGTTCCTCTCAAGATCAACCGACAAGTGCAAACCATTCTTCAAAGCTTTGAAGAAAGGACAAAGAGACAAATGGGATGAGGAGTGCGAAGTAGCTTTCCAGAGTCTCAAGGCTTATCTCACTTCACCTCCCCTGCTTTCAAAGCCAGTCCCTGGTGAGGACTTGTTCGTGTACCTGGCAGTGTCCAACTCAGCTGTCAGCTCAGCTCTCATCAGAGAAGAGCTGGGGGCCCAACATCCGGTATTCTACACGTCAAAAGCTCTCCTCGATGCAGAGACTCGTTACCCAAAATTGGAGAAACTCATTTTGGCTCTTGTAGTTTCTGCGAGAAAGCTACGACCCTACTACCAAGCTCATCGAGTCATCGTCATGACCGACTTTCCTTTGAGATCAATCCTTCATAGCCCTGATGCCTCTCAACGACTCATGAAGTGGGCTATAGAGCTAAGCCAATATGACCTCATCTACCGGCCAAAAGCTGCAATAAAAGCCCAGGCTTTAGCTGACTTCGTAGCGGAGTTCACCCCATCGGCCGAAGAAGAGAAAATGGTCAACGAAAAGAAGGAAAGTTCAAAAGCAGACAGGACCCCCGCTGAACCTAGCCAACCTAGAGACACGTGGCAGTTGCGGGTAGACGGAGCGTCAAACCAGAAAGGAGCTGGAGCGGGTGTCGTCATCATCACCCCAGACGGAACCTTGTTGGAGCAAGCTATCACGCTTGGATTCCCGGCCTCGAACAACGAGGCAGAATACGAGGCATTGCTCGCCGGCTTGCGCTTGGCAAAGGAACTCGCAATCAAGAAGCTAGCCATTTACTCAGATTCCCAGCTGATCACGAATCAAGCGTCAGGTGAATACATGGCGAAGCACCCAAAGATGATCTTGTACCTCGACAAAGTCCAGGAGTTGTTGAAGGCGTTTCCTACCTTCACCATCCAACAAGTACCCCGGGCAGAGAACGCACATGCAGATGCGCTAGCCAGTCTAGGGTCAGCGTTGGATACCCAGTTCAGACGCTCCATCCCAGTCGAACACCTTGACCGGCCAAGCATTGAAGAGGTAGAGCCAATCGACACCATGCGAATTGACGAAGACCCCAGCTGGCAAGACCCCATCATTGACTACTTAGTGAATGGAAACCTACCCGCGGACAAGTCCGAGGCTAGGAAGGTCCAGCAGAAGGCCGCGAGATACTACATGCACGACAACAAACTCATCCGCAGATCATACTCCGGCCCTCACCTTACCTGCATAAAATACCCTCAAACACTTGAGGTCCTCTGCAAAATTCACGACGGCGAGTGTGGCAACCACTCTGGGGGCAGGTCACTCGCCCAGAAGGCTCTAAACATAGGCTACTTCTGGCCTACCATGCGCCACGACTCCGCTGAATATGTCAAAAAGTGTGATCGTTGCCAACGATACAAGCCGATTCCTAATTTGCCTGCAGAAGTTTACCATCCGCAAAACAGTCCATGGCCATTCATGCAATGGGCCATCGACTTAGTGGGTCCCTTGCCACCAGCGCCCGCCAAGAAAGAAATGATGATCGTCGCCACCGACTACTTCACTAAATGGATCGAGGCTGAAGCTCTATCCTCTACTAAAGAAGCCGATGTGGAGCGATTCATCTGGAGAAACATCATATGCCGATTTGGCTGCCCAAAATCGCTGGTCACTGATAATGGCTCACAGTTCATTGGCAAACATATCACCGCCTTCTTTGCGAAATACAAGATCAAACAACACCTGTCAACTCCGAGGTATCCACAAGGAAATGGGCAGGCCGAGGCATCCAACAAAGTCATATTGGACTGCTTGAAGAAGAGGCTAGAAGGCGCCGAAGGAAAATGGGTGGATGAACTCCCCGGAGTACTATGGGCTTATCGCACCACCAAGCGAAGGTCAACTGGTGAAACCCCCATTCTCCCTCGCCTATGGGACGGAAGCAATCATCCCTCCTCACATCACAGTCCCCTCTATAAACCTCGAGGTGGGCAGTGTTGACCAGAACTCCAAGCAAATGAGGCTCAACCTTGACCTACTTGAGGGCGAACGTGAGAAGACCATTATCCGAGTCGCCTCCTACCAGCAGCAGTTGAAGTCTTACTACGACAAAAGAGCTAAGGTCAGACAGTTTCAACCAGGCGACCTCGTGCTAAGAAAGGCTTTCATCACCGCACCAAGACAAGGGTCGAAAAAGATGAATCCCAACTGGGAAGGCCCTTATGTGATCAGCCGGTCCGGGGGCAGAGGAAGCTACACATTGGACACCATGGATGGGAAGCAAATACCACGACAATGGAATGTTCACCATCTCCGAAAGTATTATCCATAACGCTTCCTCATGACTACTAGAAGTTTCAAGTTTTGTACTCAGTTATTTTCATTTTCGAATAAAGGACTGTAATCTTATGAATATCAATATAAATTCAGTTTCTCATTCCAAAATGTCTTATCTGCCTACAAAACACAAACAGTTGCCCATAAGCAACGTCCTAAGGGAGACGCAGGGCGACGACCAAAGCGTCCTTCGGGAGACGCAGCCCGTAAAAAGCGTCCTAAGGGAGACGCAGGGTGCGCCAGGAATTTCTTAAAAGGAGGTCTCCATGCCTTCTGCGGGAAGTATCCAGGTTCCTATCCGTGCTACCCTCTTATACGAGTTTTATTTTGACGTGATTTATTGTTTATGTCTGTCCGTGACTCAGAGTTTTTTTCACCTGACGCTGTTTCTCAATTATGCTTGTATTTGATTGCAGGATCTGAAGTGCTTTGTGTTCTCACTCATCTCTCTCCACTTCAAGATCAAGCCTATTGTGGTAACCAAATTAAGTCAAAACCCTAGGTCAAATAATTCATTCCATTTGGGGATTATTTGACCTAATTGGGAATTAATCAACCTAATTGGGAGTTACTCAATTTAATTGGGGGTTACCCAATTAAATTGAAGACTACCTAATTGGGTTGAGAATTGATTCCTAATTCCTACCCCGATTCTCAATTAAATGAGGAGTTACCTAATTGAAATGGGATTTGATTTGATACCTACCACAATTAGGGATTTGATTTACCCTAATAAATCAAATCCCTAATTAATCAAATCAATTCCATAAAGGGGAGGAATAATTCCCTTCCATCTACGGAATTATTCCTCTGAAACCCTAGCCTCCAAGACCATTATAAAAGGATGGCCACACACAAGGGTTGAGGTACGTCTAAATTCCTACTGAAACTCTGCAGAAATCATTTCTCACAAACCCTAGCCACCACTTTCTTTCTCTCCCTTACACAAGGCTCCAGCCACCACACACGGCTCCGGCCACCCGGTTTTCCTTGAAATACCTTACCTAACTTAGGCATCGGAGGGCCCTTGGCCAACACCCCCCGGGTGTGGTCCTTTTACTCCGATCTGTTTTGCAGAGAGAAAGAGAAGCGGAGAAGACGAAGGAATCTTTGACGAATATTCTCGTGGGGAAAATCATTCCCTCCACCTATGTAAGATGTACCAGAGTATCAAGTGTCTGCCAGACAAGTTGCATTCATGGGTTGTGTATGCTTTTCCATAGAGTTGACATTTTTACTATGTAGGCCTAATCATTGACAGTTTCTGTAATTTTTGTTACTTGGATGATTATGAGGGGATTTTGGAATGTAAGCGAAAATGGAATGCTACAATTTGCTGCAAAAGCTCTGGATTTTCATTGCATTGTGTGTGTGTGTGTGTGTGTGTGTGTGTTTTGGGGTTGCAGTAGTTGATTTTGCCGTATGTAACCTGCCAAAAAAGAAAGTATTCAAACGGATTTCATCTTGGGTGTCAAATCGGATTTATATAGTTCTTGAATTTTATAGTATTTAACTTGACCATTATGTTTTCTCAACTAAATATATATATTCCTTCAAAGATTTTTCGGGGTCTGATATAAAAATACCGTAGGTTCTTTGCAATTGTCTCAGTTAAAACATATTAAAATTTCTGTTTTTTTATAAAATAAATAGTATAGCCGTGCGGCTATCCTCCCGATTAACTATCATCTCTTTCTTCGCTCTTATTCTAGTTTCATCTTAACTGCTAGGTATTGAAGAAAGAAATAGATCCATACAAGCTCCGGTGGTATGGCTATTGCATGTTCAGAGCCCTTGCATGCTTGCATAAGCAGATAAGATCACTACGGTTGTTGTACATCTATTGAAGGCTCATGTAATTTTTTGCAGAATACTCAATTTTAAATTTATGGTTACAGGGTGTGATGCACAGAGATGTTAAGCCTGGAAACTTCCTCTTCTCTCGTAAGCTAAACAAAGGCTGTCTCATTGATTTCAACCTTGCCATGGTTAGGATCCTCATGCTTCCCAGCTGTAGCAAACTTTTCTTCTGCTTTCATTTTCATTGAAATAATCAGATCATGCTCAATCTCTATTTTCTTGTTTCGCAGGATTTACAGCTAAAGTACACAATTGGAAGTAAGTTGGTCTTTTAATTCTCAGCTATTATTTAGCTTTTAAAATGTACTGCCTGCATCCTATCTCGTTGCGATAGTGATTACTCTGGTCTGGGAAGAGCCAAGCAATGGCGTAAACATTGATTGTTGACTGAGTCACTGACCATGTTTCCCAATTGTTTCGGTGTGCTTCCTTCCCCCACCACCCCATATCTGCCTAGAACCCGAATTATCTATATTCTATGTAAAGAACAAAGTTAAAAAGAAAAAAAGATTTACCACTTTCTGTTTAATTTTCTCACATGTTTGGTGTACTACACACATTATGTTATGTGTTTAAAATCAATTTTATCCGACTAACTGACGGATTTACACATTTCTCAGGTAAACCAAAATCAAGTCGTCATGCGTCCTTTGATCATGTCCGTCTCCCTCCACCTAAATCTGCTCTATTAAACAGAGAAAAAAGTTTGTGAGAGGTGATCTTGTAGATATCAGTTTAGGGGCAAAAATAGATTTTAACAATAGATATCAGTTAAACAGATGATTCTCATAAAGATGAGGTTTTGCCTTCATCCTTATTTGTTAGATAGTTTTCTGATATTGCACTCGTTTCATCCTCATGTTCCTTTAGAGCATCAATATGAGCGTTTCTCTTGTTCTTCAACAGATTTTCTGTAAGTATAGCAATCAGACCCTACCTTTACAACCGATTTGCTAGTCAATTTGAGTTATAACCAAACTAAGAGCAATGACAGTATATATAATAGTATCGCCGCCCGGCTATATACCGGATTTTTTTATATAAAACATAGTATAGCCGGGCGTCTTTACTGGGGTCCTTTTTAAAAAAAAATTCTTTTTAATGAATAGTACCGCCGTGCGGCTATACTCTTTACGTATATAATGTGATCTTTTTTTGTGTATTGAATTTAGCATTCTCGGGTTTAATATTCGTATTGTACATGTACGTACGCATTTTTCATGTTTAATATTCTTATTATGTGAGAGTTTATTAACTTTTTAACTTCCTTCATAAGTTTTTGCTGCATTTTGGGGTGTTCCTCTTGGACATAACTCTTTGGTTCTCCTCAAACATTCAATGTTAATACGCTTGTTTTTTACAAAATTTTCAATAATACACACAAAATTCAAGTATTATACACAAAATACTCACATTTTATTGAATAAAAATAAATATAAAAAAATACTAATTATTCACTAAGTAAATAATAATTATAACATAACTACTAATTAAAGTAATTAAAAAAGAGAAACTCATTTCACTGGGTATATCCGCACGGCTATACGGGCTATACCTTAAAAAAATTCTATTTAGAGTACAACCGTGCGGCTAGACCCTTGAAATATTCTATTTATAGAGTATAGCAATCAGGCAATACTCTTTGGACAACAACACATTTCAAGCACTGGCCGGGGTTTTTTTTTTAATAAATATTATAGCCGCGCGGCTATACTATTTTAAAAAGGGGCAAGGAGTATAGCCGTGCGGCTATACTATTTGTTTTAAAAAAATAAAAAAGAATCTAGTACAGCTGGGCGGCGATACTATTTACATACGTATATAAAGACACGCCCTGCGCATATGTGCCACGTGTCAAACCAGAACAGCCATGCGGGTATACTATTTTTGTTTTAAATTTTTTTAAAAAAGAGTATAGCTGTCTGGCTATACGATTTTTAAAGACAATTAGGGAAAAACTGAGTATAGCCGTGCCACTATACCATTTTTAAAAATACATATTATTTTTATTCAATAGTATGTGAGAATTATGTATATAATATGTTAATTTTGTGAGTCTTATTGAAATTTTTGTAAAAATAAGTGTATTAAAGATGCGAAATACCAGCCTATGTGTATAATACATTATTAAATGTGAAGGCACTAGAATCTTTATACGGGTAATAACTCTGAAAAAGTAAAAAATGAAAAAGGGACAATAGATACTCGAGTAATGGCCTAATAGTAATGGATAAGGCTCTTGGACTATGGAGAAATTTAATTAGGACATCCAAACGATTTCACAAAAGACTTAGTAAATAGAAATTAATTATTTTGTGGAATTTTTCTATAATTTTTTATACTAATTAATAATTAAATATAATTACTAATTAAGTAATTCAAAAAGGCTAGGATATTACTTAATTGCATATATTAAATTAAAGAAGTAGGCCAAAAAAATTAAAGTAAAGAAACTAATTATATTATTTTAAATTTAAGAAAGGAAAAAAAAAAATATGTCCCAATGAAAATTCGTCGGCACAGGTCTATGTCGGCAAACATTCCCATATTAAATTTTCTTTTTTAAACAGTATAGCCGCGGGCTATACTATTTCTTCTTGGACATAAAGTATGGAGGTTCCATTCTACCGAATTTTGTATCAGATTTTCCTTATACCTCTGTATTGATAAGTTGTGATCAGATTAAAACCTCATTTAGCTCAAGTGTTTGGCAGAACTATCATACTTTCTTCGCTCTTATTCTAGTTTCATCTTAACTGCTAGGTATTGAAGAAAGAAATAGATCCATACAAGCTCCGGTGGTATGGCTATTGCAATTTGCATGTTGCAGATAATGGTCCAAAAACGAATCAGAAGCAGGGAAGAAGAAGAAGAAGATCAAAAAGGTGGTGTACCTAGCAAGGATTAAAATATCGGCCGTGCAGATAATATCGGGCCTCCAATTTACAAATATTTCGAGGGATATATCGTTATCGTTTTAGTTATCGGGAAAAAATCAACAAAAAGGACAGATATAGGCATTGAAACACATAATTTTGGAGTAAAACTTTCATAGATGTTATGTACATTATCAATAAATGTATTGAACAAATAAAACTCAAAATTTACTAATAATAAGATATACATTGATGAAATATAAGTGGTATGTAATGCGTATTAATGAAAAGTTTGAAAATAAAATTTTGATTATAATGAATAAACCATGCATAAATCCTTTAAACATTAGATTACAATTTAGATAAGTGTCCACCTACATAAATGAAGAGCTCCTATGAGATTCAAACAATGAGGAACAACCATCCAGATTCATACAATAGTCATACCAAGTCATGTAACCCGAACAGTTTGTAAGTCATGTTAGAACATGGTGCACATAAGTCTCTCTCGAGCTCCCTACTGTCCTCCCAGGATAGTTAGGATTAACCCAACTAGTAGGTCCATAATCTGTTTCATCATCTTGAGCTCCATAACTAGTTCCACTATAATCAGACATGACATGACCATAGCCATAATAAGATTCATTTGAGTTAGTAGTAAGTCTAGTTCTTGTGCTCATAGATCCAAAATTGATCGTCATGTCCTCTTCAAATGGATTGGAGGTATGTGGGCAGTGGACTGTGCATAGATTCTTCATATTAATAAATTATAAGGTTCTGGGCAAGGATTAGCAATTTTTGAGTTTCAATTTACTTCAATTGCCTTCAAAACTTCTGAATTTTTTTTTTGGTTCTATTATGAGTATTGGAAAATATCGGGGATATCGGCAAAATATCGGGAATATCGCACTTATCGGGGGATATATCGTCGATACATGGGAAGATATAGTCTTACCCCCCAGTATCGGTGTCGATAGTTGAAAATACCGATATATCGGCAGATATATTGATGTATCGGCCGATATTTCAATCCTTAGTACCTAGTAGCAATCAGATGGGCGATGGAGTGGCAGTTGTGGGCAGAGCATGTCTGGGCAAACAAGCTTGTTTTCCAAGTACTTCATCATCTTCTGAGAAATGAGAAAGACCCAGAGTGACCACCTACATATAAACCCACGTACACTCATCACCCTCTCTCTCCCTCTCTCTCTCTTCAACCAAAACACACACAACACTATTCACCGCAAGCACTATATATATAGACCAAAACGGCATAACAGAAAATAACAAAATATTATTTTGCACGGATAGGAATATATGTTTTCTCGCATTTTTGTTCATTTAAAAAAAAATCTCATTTTAAAATTTTTTATTACAAAATTACTCAGGACCATTTTGCCCTTGAGCTGATACAAGCCGATTCTGCATGGACGCAAGTCGCTTCAGACGCGCATTTTGGGCGAGCGTAGGGAACCATGAGAACCGTCGGATACCTTGGAGGCCACGTGCTCCTTTCATATTGGAGTGGTCCCCTACTCTACTCTACTCCCACCCCAGAGGCAGGATATAGAGTTGGTTAATATTGTTTTGTTTTTTTGGGCAAATTTTGACTTTCTGTTGCACATAAAAATTAGGCAGAATTGCTGTCTGCTTCAGAACCCTTGGTCAACACAATTACTGTTTCCTTCATACCACTGCACTCCAAATTCAAGACATTTTTCACAGATTTTGAGCAAGTCTTTACCCTTTACACTTGGGACCCAGAAATCAGTAGTTAGAGCACTTGCCACTGAATCAGCATCACCACCACCGGCAAAGATGGTCAAAGCCATTCGAGTCCATGAGCTTGGTGGACCTGAGGTCTCTCTCTCTCTCTGTTTCCATACATATGCTTTTATGTTTGAATTGGCCGGCTGCTGTGTTGTGCCTTTTATTTTTATCAGATTATCAAAACTCACTTGTGTATAATTACTGGTCAGTGGTTACTTGTCCTTATTTTTATGATTGTTAAAGTATTTGAGATTGCTGAATTCAATTCACAGTTTGTGTATAGTGTATCAAGTGTCTTCATAAATAATCCTTCACATAAGTCGGCCGGATCAGAAAACAATTATAGTTTTTGACACTGATTATTCAGTATCCATTACTTTTTTTTGGGTAAGGCAGTATCAGTTTATGTCTATTTTTGCTTAAAGGAAATTTATCTTTGTTGTCTATGACCTCCCATATTTGTCAACTAAATGCCATTATTCCTTTATTTTCACCCTCATTTTACTTATTTTTGTCATGTGATGGTGTCAGGTCTTGAAATGGGAAGATGTGGAAGTAGGAGAGCCAAAGGAGGGAGAGGTTCGTGTGAAGAACAAGGCCATTGGGCTTAATTTCATTGATGTATACTTCCGCAAAGGCATTTATAAGGCTGCTACGATTCCCTACACCCCAGGTTTTGCTACATTTCTAAGATTATGAAGATACAGTTCAACCAAGATTGACTTCTAGCCAATTTTTGACCTCATGTTCTTTTAAAAAACTTTGGTTTTTCTTCACAGTTTTCTATAATAAACCTTTACCATGAGAGTATATTTTTTGAAAGATGGTTAGGAACGCTTGGGGTGAACCTAATACAAGAATGCAGAGCATGACATCAGAGAACGATTTCCATTGTTAGATTTGTTATCTAAAACTTGTTTGGGCTTTGATAATGGATTTGCACAATTGATTTACAAATCAAAACTGATTTCAGGCGGTGAGGCTTGTGGAGTTGTGACAGCTGTGGGACCAGGACTAACAGGCAGGCAAGTTGGAGATCTTGTAGCCTATGCTGGTCAGCCAATGGGCTCATATGCGGAAGAGCAGATCCTTCCTGCAGAAAGAGTTGTGCCTGTTCCTCCTTCCATTGATCCTACTGTTGCTGCATCCCTCTTGTCCAAGGGCATGACAGCTCAGTTTCTACTACGCAGTTGTTTCAAGGTAGCTTTATATTTATGCAGGAGCATCTGGAATTTCAGGAACCACACATAGTCTGTAAATGAAAATAGTTTGAATTACAAAACACGAGATAACCACATAGTCTGTAAATGAAAATAGTTTGAATTACAAAACACGAGATAACCACATCCCGGTGGTGATATTTTAGGCCATGCTAGTTTTAATATTCCTTGAATATGCGCGTAGCCTTGCAAAACATTTTTATAGAGCTATTAGCATGCACCTATGAGTTTTCCTGTCAAGGAGAATATTCATTACTGTTAATACTGTTTTGATTTTTATTGTTGTCATTGAAAACTTTTTGGGCAGAATTGTCCCTGTTTTGACAAAGTATGCTCAGTTGTGTTTGAGTTAGTCTCTTTCATTTGTTAATCATGAGCACTCGTGGGAGTTGAGGAGCTCTCTCTCTCCCTCCCTATTTATATTTGTCCCTTTGAGACTATAAATTTTAAAAACATGTCCTATCATTATCTGATGTAAGATAAAACTACCATTCTTGTTCTCTTTCACTTTTTCATTTGTGGCATACTTGTTGATTCCGTTCCACCGGACAATCTGTGGAAATTTAAAAAAAAACATAACAACTAAGTATGAATTCAATGAGTAAAATGTCCAAACAATCAAGATAGTACACCTAAAAAAACAAGCTCTATTGTAAACCAGCAACGTGTAATCAACTAAGTACTTCAATCTTAATTTGGGTTCATTCTACAATTGCATGCTTAACATAGCCCATCCTCTTTCATAATGTTATATATGTTTCAAAAATTTGAAACTCATGTTGCTTTTGTTATTAGGTCTGACTTGAGTGTTGTTATGCAGGTTGAACCTGGACACGCAGTCCTTGTCCATGCAGCAGCTGGTGGAGTTGGATCCCTTTTATGCCAGTGGGCTAATGCCCTTGGTGCCACTGTCATTGGAACTGTATCTACTAAAGAGAAGGCAGCTCAAGCCAAGGAGGATGGATGTCACCATGTCATAATCTCTAAGGAAGAGGACTTTGTTGCTCGAGTGAAAGAAATAACATCTGACAATGGGGTCGAGGTTGTTTATGATTCTGTAGGGAAGGATACTTTTGAGGTAAGCTATACTTTTCTTCTCCCTTTTTTCTACAAATGAACAAAAACACAATCAAGGGAGTTTAGGGAGAGATCATACCATGTTCAAATTCTGCATGAGTACATTTGAGTTGGCTTCACCTTAACTTGGTGCCAAAGTTTCTCAATGCTGGACCAGGCCTATGAAACCAGATATTTTTGAATTTGAGCCAGGTTTATGAATTTTTTAAATGATGAGGGGGTCCATTTAGATGGAATGCTTTAAAGTTAGGAGTTGGATTTTGACAAAAGGCTTTTATGTCGGATCAGTCAATCTAGCTATATTTTATTTACTAAATTCTTAGACCTGAAATCTCTCTTCCCTAATAGACCCTAAAGTTAGTTACATTGTGATTGTGGTAGTGCAAACGGTTGGTAATCAGTAATTAAAAGAGAAGAAGAAAAGACACCCTCAAATAAGTGTGTTGTGTCGTGATTTATTCAAATGTTGCAAGCCCAACTGGTCTCCCAGATCAACATAATCTGGTAGATAATGAGTTCTGGGTAGGCAGTCTTTTGCTAATTTGTGTTTTGGACCAAGAATCCTTAATTGGGAGTTATTGTTGTATTCAGGGATCACTGGCATGCTTGAAGACTCGTGGATACATGGTGAGTTTTGGGCAGTCATCAGGTGCGCCAGATCCGGTTCCATTGTCAGCCATTGCAGTGAAGTCACTGTTTTTGACTAGGCCTAGCCTCTTTAATTACGCTGCAACTCGAGACGAATTGCTAGGGATGGCGGGAGAGGTATTTGGTAATGTTCAATCAGGTGTATTGCGGGTTCGAGTAAATCACACCTACCTATTGTCTCAAGCAGCACAGGCACACGAAGACCTTGAGAATAGGAAAACATCTGGATCTGTTGTGCTTATCCCTTAAGGCAAATATGAGTTTGGTCTGTTCATTTTAAAGGCTACGTGGTGTGTGTGTGTGAAAATGAATAAGGAACGTTTGCCTTCATGTTCAGGATAGCTGCTGTGCCAAATGAAATGGATGTCTCCGACTGCAGTTATCAAGAAACTTTGTTAAGCTAGCAATAAAAACAAGAAAAACTGGACTTTTATCTAACTGACGGATTTACACGTTTCTAAGGTAAACCAAAATCAAGTCGTCATGTGTCCTTTGATCATGTCCGTCGCCCTCCACATAAATCTGCTCCATTAAACAGAGAAAAAAAGTTTGTGAGAGGTGATCTTGTAGATATCAGTTCAGGGGCAACAAGAGATTCTAAGCGAACAGATGATTCTCATAAAGATGAGGTTTTGCCTTCATCCGTATTTCTTAGATAGTTTTCTGATATTGCACTTGTTTCATCCTCATGTTCCTTTAGAGCATTAATATGAGTTTTTCTCTTGTTCTTCAACAGATATTTTCTATAAGTATACCCTATTTTTACAACCGATTTGTTAGTCAATTTGAGTTATAACCAAACTAAGAGCAACGACAGTATATATAATTGCTTTAGATCTGTTTTAATGTGATATTACCTAATGAGAATGCATCAAGGCCCTAAGGCTGATGACTGGTCAGCTGGAGTCACCCTGCTTTACCTGATGATGGGAAGAACTCCTTTTTGAGATTATGAATGTCTTTTCTGTATTGTTACGAGATAAGATATGATTTTGCTTTCTCACCGTATTTTTTCTTTTGTCTGGATAATGAAGAGAGTTATGTTCAAAAGGTGGCATGGAGTGCATCCCATTTATACTATAAGCGTACATAAAAATCTAAAATAGGGCAGCAGAAAGTCTTATTCTCCTCTACCTTTTGGACCAAACAAGTAGACTGGTGAAACCTGAACTGTGTTGAAGAATGCTCTTTGCTTCAAAAGCAAAAGCTTTTATCTCTAGCCAAAGGCACCAAAACATAGATTAGTCACCCTTCTCTGCAATTCTTTTAATCGAAAATTTTCTCTATAGTTCTTCAGAGCTCAGAGTCCGTTTGTTTACAAATAGTCTGGTTGCTGACACAAAGGAGGCAAATATTAGAGAGAATAAACTTCATAAGTTTCCTGTTTTCAGGTGATACCATGGAAAACAATTGTATTAAGTTAATAACTGTGAGCTTCTGGTTTCCTAATGTTGTTTATGACTGTTGTCAATTGATTTTATTGAATTAACATTTCTGTAGTTTGGGTTTCTCTGGAATCTTGCAAGCAATCTGAATTGTCTTCTTGTGTTTTAGTTAAAGTTAACACCAATTGGATTTTGGGAATCAAGATCAAGCAAATCACCTCTAAATGTTGGAAGTTCTTCTTCTTTCCAATTAATCAATAAGAATTGAAAGAGTTGGGTGGCACCATGGCATTAGCTACGTCTTATGAAATGATGGAAAACAAATGCCCAGTAATTGTATCTTTACTGAACAGTGGAAGTGCTTACCAAAAAGAAATTACACCGTGAAAATCGTTTCTCAGACTCTGGTCAAACTAATTGTAGGATTGTTACCCTTCATGTTGACTGTTCGTGCAAATTGATCGATATATTCTTCCCAGAATTTGGTTAGTGGAGTGTCGTCGTCCTGGTTTCCTAAATTGGTTGCATTTTTGCCTATCTTTAGGAAGATGATGTCAACTGGCCAGAACCTGACCGTGTTGGGCGGCAGGAGCTTGAAATTGTAATGGGGAATGAGCATATCTCCTTTCCTACTTCAAAGATTGGATCCCTTGTTGATGTCCAGAGCAGTAAAGATCCTGAAGGTCTTCGCATCTTTTATTATCTTGTTCAGGTCAGTTGATTTGCACTTTCATTTTATGGTATAAAGATTGCCTTTCCTTTTCTGGATTCATACTGTATACGTAGGGATCGATGGTTGTTAGCTCTTACTTGTCAGTGCTGGTGTTCTGACTCAACGTGTAAATTGCTGCTGCGGGGTGTGAGCTTCTTTGGTCGAAATTTGTTTCTACTATTCAATGGATAGAAACTTTAAAAACATGACAAGTGGAAAATAATTGTATTCTAACTCCTTTTTTTTTGGGGGTATATACAAGAGGGACAGGTCGTGTCAGGGAAGTGCAATTCATCACGCGAAAACGCGTCAATAATTGAAGACAGGAAGTTTGACACTTCCTCACAATTTCATGAATTCACATTGCCTTTTACATTTGCTCACATCCAAACTCTTCAAGTAAAAAAGGCTCATTTTTGGCTTAGCGAATCCAGAGAGAAGCAAACACTGAAACAATTATGTTGGCTTCCATGGCCAACCGAGGAGCCTCTTCTTCTTCTGCTCCTTTCACCAAATCATGGAAATACCATGTCTTTCTGTGCTTCAGAGGCGAAGACACGCGCCACAACTTCACAGACCATTTGTATAGCGCTTTATGTCAACAAGGCATTAACACCTTCAGGGATGATGATGAGCTCAGAATAGGAGAAGAAACATCAAGCGCGCTTCTCACAGCAATTGAAGAATCAAAGATTTCTGTCGTTGTGTTCTCTAAAAACTATGCCTCTTCAAAGTCGTGTTTGGATGAACTTGTTAAGATTCTTGACTGCAAAGAATCAAATCAACAACTGGTCATGCCAGTTTTTTACAAGGTGAATCCGTCAGATATACGGAATCATAGAGGAAGCTTCGGGGATGCACTGGCTAACATGGACTGCAATAATGTGGAGAAGATCAACAGATGGAAGGAAGCTCTTTCACAAGCAGGAAAATTGGCGGGGTTCACTCTGTCCGATGAGTAAATTTCCACCCCCCCTTTTCCTTACATAATTAATGCTTTCTCTTTTCTTTTATTCTTTTTTATTTTTCAGTCAAATAAATAAATTATAAGATTTGACAAAAAAAGAAAATAATTATAAGAGTTAATTTATTCATTGTTGCTCTAAATTCTCTTCTTTTTGTGTGGATTATGTTCCTTAATTGCCCTTTCTAAATTACTTTTCATACAAAAATGCCATGTGACTAAATGTTTCATATGCTTTTAAATTGGCAGACATAGATCTGAAGCTGAACTGATTCATAAAATTGTTCAACGCATTTCACGGGAAGTAATAGACCGTACATATTTATATGTGACAGAGTATCCAGTTGGAATGCACCATCCTATAGAAGATATAACTAAGCTTTTAGATTTGGGGGAAAAAAATGTTCGTATGGTAGGGATATGGGGAACTGGTGGAATTGGTAAGACCACAATTGCTAAAGCTGTTTATAATTCAATTGTCCATGAATTTGAAGGTAGTTGTTTTCTGGAAAACGTTAGAGAACGTGCAATGTGGCAGAGAGGAGGTTTAGCCAAACTACAAGAGAATCTTCTTTCTGACATTTTAAGGGGAAATTTTTTTGAGATGCCCAACGTTCATATAGGAGCCACTATGATACGAGAAAGGTTGAGTGGTAGAAAGATTCTCTTGGTTCTTGATGACGTGGATGACATGGAACAGTTACACAAGTTAGTTGGGGCATGTGATTGGTTTGGTGCAGGCAGTAGAATTATCATAACAACAAGGGATAAGCAACTGTTAACTGCTCATGATGTTAATTTAATACACGAGGTCAAGATTTTAGATTATTATAAAGCTCTTGAGCTCTTCTGCTGGCATGCCTTCAAAAGAAGTGGGCCTCCTTTGGGTGATTATGTGAAACTTGCAGAACGTGCACTACGCTATGCTCAAGGCCTTCCTTTGGCTTTGAAAGTTCTAGGTTCTTGTCTATATGGTGGAAGTATTGATATTTGGGAAGCTGCATTACATGGTTTCAAAAGCCCGAAAATTCAAGATGTTCTCAAAATAAGTTACAATGCATTGGATCATAGCGTACAACAAGTTTTCCTTGACATTGCATGTTTCTTTAAGGGTAAAAGTAGAATGCGTTTGACAAAAATAGTTGTAGCTTGTGACCCCAGAGCGAGGTATAGCATTGAAGTACTCATGGAAAAGGCACTCATAAGTGTTGAAGGAGATTATATTTGGATGCATGACTTACTAGAAGAGATGGGTAAGGACATAGTTCAGCAAGAGTCGCCCGATGAACCTGGAGGTCGTAGCAGATTGTGGTCTCATGAAGATATCGAGCACGTTTTGACTAATGATACTGTAAGTATAATAATAATTTTTATTTTTATTTTTATTTTTATTTGAAAGAAAAAAGTAAATTTGAAACTCGTGCATGTTTTTTATTAAATACTTTATAACAATGGTCCCTTTTCTTTTTTATGTTAGGGAACAGAAAAAATCACAGGCATTATGTTAAATTCCCCTGAAATGGATTATGAGATATTCTTGGATGTTGACTGCTTCTTAAAGATGAAAAATCTTAAAATTTTCATGAACTATAACGTATGTCTTTCTGGAAACATTGGTTATCTCCCAAACATGTTGAGAGTGCTTGATTGGCATAGATGTCCACTCCAATCTTTTCCACCTAATTTTCGTCCAAAGGGACTAGTTGTGCTCAATCTGCCTTGCAGCCACATCAAACAACTACGGGAGGGATTGAAGGTACTTTAAGAGTTCTCGTTTATTAACTGATGTATGTTGTAAATTTCTTTAATGCTATCCATTTGATTATTATTCTTTTTTCAATTCTTTTTTGGTTTCACAGCATTTCACAAAGTTGACATCTTTGAATTTAGAGTGGTCTAAATTCCTAACTGAAATCCCCGACCTATCCGGCAACCCAAACTTAAGGTACTTGAATGCGAGTTATTGTGAAAGTTTAGTTGAGGTTCATCCATCTGTTGGATATCTCGATAAACTTCAAGTATTGGATTTTTGTGGCTGCCGTGAACTCACCAAGTTTCCAAATAAAGTCTGGTGGAAATCTCTGGAACGGTTGGGTCTTAGCAATTGCAAAAAGTTGGAGAGTTTCCCAGAAATTGTGGACAAAATGGAATCCTTAATTGAATTGGACCTTGGGAGAACTGCTATAAAAGAGTTGCCTGCATCAATTGGACATCTCATTGGGCTGGAAATATTGCGCTTATCTGAAAGTGCTATAAAAGAGTTGCCTGCGTCAATTGGACATCTCATTGGGTTGAAAATTTTGGTCTTATCTGGACGTCTTATAAAAGAATTGCCTTCCTCAATTGGACATCTAACTGCACTTGAAGCGTTATCTTTAAAAGGAACTGCAATAGAAGAGTTGCCTTCATCAGTTAAAGATCTCACTGCGCTTGAAATTTTAGATTTAGAAGGATGTGAAAACCTTACAAATCTGCCACAAATTATTTATGGGTTGCAAAAGCTCAATCGATGCCTGAAACTTGTCACATTTCCAAATAAATTGATCTCTGAAGTTTTATCGAGTGTAGAATCACTTCCTTTGGAGGTTCGAACCAACGCAAATAGTCCACGCGATGGCGACTTGTTAAGTTTATGGTCCAACTTAACAATAATTAATCTATCCAATAGCAATTTTGTCAGTCTTCCTGTGTGCATTAGCAAATGTGTCAACTTGCAGTGGCTTGACTTGAGTGGTTGCAAGAAGCTTGTAGAAATTCTAGGACAACTTCCAGCGTCTATAGAAAGTATCAATATGGCTGATTGCATATCACTGGAAAGATTTTCAACATTATCAAAGATATTGGAAGACGGAGACATGCAACATATCGATTACATGAATTTGTCCAATTGCCATAGGCTATGCGATAATATAGGGTTGGACGCTGCAAAGATGGCAAATATTTTAGTGAAGCAGGTGACGTATATATACTTTTTCTCTTAATTTCTATATAATACGCATACATTACATGTATTGTTAATGCTATACTATGCACACATGACTAATTAATATATATGCCTCTCTTGTCTTGTGTTGTGTTACAGCCAGTAGTCAATACCGGACATTTTATTAATGTTTTACTTCCAGGCAGTGAAGTTCCAGAGTCGTTCAGTTTTCGCAAGGACGTAGGTGTACTTCTTCCAAATAATAACGATCATTTGTTGGACTTCCCGATTGAAATTCCTTGGACTTCCTTATTGGAGAACATGGTTTTGTGTACTGTTTGTGAACCTACGGAATCATTTATTAGGCCGTGCTTTCCTGGATTGTCACTTTCGAATTTGATCGATGGAGTCTGGGGATTTCCTGGTGATGATTACTCAGTGTCAGAAGGATTGACAGGGGCAGGTCATGTGGAGCTGCGCTATATTCCATTACCTGCTCACACGAAGCGAAAGAGGGCTCTTCATCGAATTATTAATGTTTCCTACAGAGGCGGCAGAGGGCTCTTCAAAAGCTTTGGGGCCGACCTGTCTCGTAACAGCATGCCGAAGGATGGTTTTTGGTTTTTGCTCAATGCCAGAGGACGGTGATGATGATGAAAATGGAGATGAAGATGAATTAGATGATGTAGGTGATGAAGTTCGACCCAGAAAGAGAAAAAAGACGACCTCCCTCTGCATTTCAATGTCAATGTGAGTTCGCATCACTTTTTTTTTTATTATTATTTATTTATAACTCTTTATTAGCCTCCCCTTCCAGCACAAAATTGGTAATGACTACACCACCTTCTCTTTTTTTTTCTTTTTTTTTGGTTTGGCTATTGTATGTTCCAAAATTGGTAACCACAGCACGCTGATTTTGTCGAAATTTTTTATGAAATTTGATTATTGAATTGCAGTCACGCTCACTTAAGGACCCAAAAAATGATATTTTGTGAGCAACTATTCATTATAGACCCTTAGATTAATCTAATGGCATAAATAACTAGTAGTTTAAACCCTAGTTATACTCCTTATTTTAATCTGCAATAATTCCCCTTTAAAAAAATCTGCAACAATTGTAAAAAATATATAAAATAAATTAGGGAGACATAGTTCAATTCGGATCCATTGAAAATACAGTCATGTATAATTTAGGTTATGTGTGGTTCTTTTTTTTTTTTTTTTTTTTTTTTTTTTTGGACACTCTTTCTTTTTAATTATTTCCAGGGTTTGATGAAAATGCTTTTCTATTCTAGAAAGGGTTTAGGGTTCAATGAAAACACTTTTCTATTCTAGAAAAACAGTTTCATGGTATTCTTGTTCTCTTTTCGAAGTGATGTTAAGCATAGTTTCTCTGCATTTGCAATATTATATAGTAATTACAATTTTTTTTGTTTAAAAGAAATGAATGAAAATAATTTTTTGATGTCAATAATTATTTAATAGTGTGAAAATTATTAATTCTTTTTAATTTTCTCCGTAGTTGAAAAATATAAGACAAACTTGAATTGGAATCAGAGTTAATTTATTCATCATTGCTCAAAATTCTCTTCTTTTGTGTGTATAATGTTGCTTGCCCTTTTTTTATTTTTTATTTTATATAGAAATGCCATGTCACTAAATGCTTCATATTGTTTTCAATTGGCAGGCATCAATCTGAATCTAAGTTTATCCAAAACATCATTGAAGAGATTTCAAAACACGTATTAAACCGTGTGCCTTTGGAAGTGGCAGAGCATCCAGTTGGAATGCAACCTCAAATACAAGTTATGAATAAGCTTTTAGATTTGAGGGAAAATGATGTTCGTATGATAGGGGTATGGGGAACTGGTGGAATTGGTATGACCACAATTGCTAAAGCTGTTTATAATTCAATTGCCCACAAATTTGAAGGTTGTTCCTTTTTGGCAAACGTTAGAGAAAGGTCAACGTCGCATGAAGGTTCAGTCGGATTACGAGAAAATCTTCTTTCTGACATTCTAAGGGTAAAAAATTTGAAGGTGAATGTTGATAAAGGAGTCACTATGACAAAGGAATGGTTGAGGCGTAGAAAGGTTCTCTTGGTTCTTGATGACGTGGATGACATGGAACAGTTACACAGGTTAGTTGGGGCATGTGATTGGTTTGGTGTAGGCAGTAGAATTATCATAACAACAAGGGATAAGCAACTGTTAACTGCTCATGGTGTTAATTTAATACATGAGGTCAAGATTTTAGATGATGATAAAGCTCTTGAGCTCTTCTGCTGGCATGCCTTCAAAAAAAGTGAGCCTCCTTTGGGTAATTATGTGAAACTTGCAGAACGTTCAAAACAAGTGAGCCTTCTTTGGCTTCGAAAGTTCCCGGTTCATGTCTCTGTGGTGGAGATATAGATAAATGGAAAGCTGCATTGGAGGGTTTCAAAAGCCCAAAAATTCAAGATGTTCTCAAAACAAGTTACAATGCCTTGGATGATATTGTCAAGGAGGTTTTCCTTGACATCGCTTGTTTCTTTAAGGGTAAAAGTAGAAACTATGTGATAGAAGCTTGTGAGCTAAACACTAGATATGGCATTGATGTACTCATAGAAAAGGCCCTCGTAAGTGTTGAAGGAAGTTATATTCAAATGCATGACTTACTATAGAAAAGATGGGTAAGGACATAATTGAGCAGGAGTCGCCCACTGAACCCGGAGGACGTAGCAGATTGTGGTTCCATAAAGATGTCAAGCATGTTCTGACTAATAATAAAGTAAGTAAATTAAATTATATATCTGAGTGTAAAGTTTTATTTAATTCAATAACTAACACATGTTGTGTGTTAAGTATAATATTTTCTTTTTTATTATAAATACTTTGCAACACTTAGTACATTTTTCTTTTTTCTATTAGGGAACAAATAAAATCACAGGCATCATGTTAAATTTCCCCAAAAAAAGTTATGAGATATTCTTGGATGTTGGCAGAAGCTTCTCGAAGATGAAAAATGTTAAAATTCTCATGAACTACAACGTATACCTTTCTGGAGACCCTAGTTCTATCCCAAACAATTTGAGAGTGCTTGATTGGAAAAGAAGTCCACTTATGCTAGTCTGTCCACTTAAGTATTCCATTTATGAGTCGAGACATCCTAGTTTTTTACCCTCTTATACGAGTTTTATTTTGACGTGATTTCTATTGTTTATGTCTGTCAGTGACTCAGCATGAGGTTTTTTTTATTTATCCCGACACTGTTTCTCAATTATGCTTGTATTTGATTGCGGCATCTGAAGTGCTTTGTGTTCTCACTCATCTCTCTCCACTTCAAGATCAAGCCTATATAAGATGCAACAGAGTATCAAGTGTCTGCCAGACAAGTTGCATTCATGGGTTGCGTATGCTTTTCCGTAGAGTTGACATTTTTACTATGCAAGCCTAATCATTGACAGTTTTTGGAATTTTTGTTACTTGGATGACCATGAGAGGGGATTTCGGAATGTAAGCGAAAATGGAATGCTACAATTTGCTGCAAAAGCTCTAGATTTTCAGTGCATTGTGTGTGTGTGTGTGTTTTGGGGTTGCAGCAGTTGATTATGCCGTATGTAACCTGCCAAAAAAGTAAGTATTCAAACGGATTTCGTCTTGGGTGTCAAATCGGATTGATACAGTTCTTGAATTTTATAGTATTAACTTGACCATTACGTTTTCTCAACTAAATATATATATTCCTTCAAAGTTTTTTTGGGGTCTGATATCAAAATACCGTAGGTTCTTTGAAATAGTCTCTGTTAAAACATATTAAGTGGATCTTGGGCTGTGTGTGTTTGAGCAGGCTCCTAGTTGGTTAAGTGATTATCTTGTTGATGATCTGCTTGGAATTGTTCATTCTAGATTGGTCTGTTTAGACCAGGTTGTGTAGTCTGTTTCTTGGGGCTTTGCCCCCCTACTTAATCAAAAAAAAGATTGAGGTTTTTGTCTTAATAAATAGTACAGCCGAGCGGCTAGCCTCCGGATATTTTTTAATAAAAAAAGAGTAATGCCGACCGGCTTTACTATGGTCCTTTTTCTGAAACTCCTTTTTACGAATAGTACCGCCGTGCGGCTATACTCTTGACATAGATAATGCGATCTTTCGGGCTATACTATCTGCACAAAACACGTGCCAAGTTGTTGGTTGTTTTTTTTTTTTTTTTTTTTTTTTAAAAAAAACGTATAGCCGAGCGGCTATACAACGGATTTTTTTTTAAATAAAAATGAGTAAAGCCGACCGGCGTTACCGTGGTCCTTTTTTGAAATTCCTTTTTATGAACAGTACAGCCGTTCGGCTATACTCTTTACATAGATAATGTGAATTATTTTTTTTTATAATTGTTTTTCCCCGATTTTTGTTTATCGACAAAATTCATGTCTTATACACAAAATACTCACATTTTATTGAATAAAAATTAAAAAAATTAAATACTAATTATTTACTAAGTAAATAATTGAAATTTTTTTAAGAATAATTCTATTTAGTACAGCCGGTCGGCTATACCTTCGAAATAGTATACTCTTTGATTTCAACCTTGCCATGGTTAGGATCCTTATGTTTCCCAGCTGTAGCAGACTTTTCTTCTGCTTTCCTTTTCATTGAAAAAAATCTGATCATGCTCAATCTCTATTTTCTTGTTTCGCTGGATTTACAGCAAAAGTACACAATTGGAAGTAAGTTGGTCTTTTAATTCTCAGCTATTATTTAGCTTTTAAAATGTACTACCTGCATCCTATCTCGTTGCGATAGTGATTACTCTGGTCTGGGAAATGCAAAGCAATGGCATAAACTTTGATTGTGGAGTGAGTCACTGACCATGTTTCCCAATTGTTTCGATGTGCTTCCTTCCCCCACATAAAGATGCATGGAAGCGGGCTAATGCTGGTCCCTTGAAAAAGTATCCTGATAGGGGTGGTGGGAATATATTTAAAAGCCAAGGTGCTGCTGGCTCAGGTATAACCTCCAACGAAGGATGTGACAAGTGTCAGGACTCCATCTACAGAAAGAGCAAAGGAACCTCTGCCATGCCTAGAAAGAAAAGAGTTGATCAGTCTGGTGCAGGATGCGATTCTTAGTCCAAACCAAGGTACAATAAAAACTCCTTTCCCAGAGGAAAAGTATTGCTGCTACTCCAGGAAATATTGAAAACAAAATCATCTATACAAGTCCAATGTCTCTGCATTTTACTGATATAGCTGTATGATATGACAATCATCCCAGTAATATAAAAGACATCGCGACGTTAAAGGGCAGTGAAGATTTATGGGAAGTGGCCAAGCTACATGATCGTGAATCCTCCTTTCCAGGGGTATATTTTTTAACTGGAGTTTTTTCTTTTTCTTTTCTTCTTCTTTTCACGGCGAATACTTTCTATCTTCAAATTAATTGCAGTTCTTTGCTGATCTCATATTCATACTCAGACAGAAAGATGCATTGCTATTTTTGTATCATCAGAAAAACGAGGGTGCTTTGAGTTTTATTCATGTTATCTACACCCAAAATGGTGGTCTGTACACCCTTATGTGAGGTTATTAACTTTTTAACTTCCTTGACATAAGAGTTGCCATTTAAGTTTTTGCTGCATTTTATTGATTGTTCAGGAGTAATGATATCAAATCCTTGCCATCAATGGAACTGCAAAGTTGGTGCATGGCTCACACAAAAAGAGCCCAGTTTTTCAAGCTCATTCCAATATCACTCTTTGATCTTGTGGACAAGTGCCTGACAGTAAACCCAAGGCTGAGGATCGGCGCAGAGGAAGCTGTGAGGCATGAATTCTTTGCCTCGTGCCTTGAGAGCTTGAGGAGGCAGAAGATGTTCAGGCGTGAGGTTATGAGTACCCAGAATGATCTTCTTGTACATGAAGTAAAGTGTAATGTAGTTTTGATCAACATATTTGAACAATGAATTTCATCACCTAGTTCTTTGGCTTAAAAATTGTATAGTTCCCATAAATAAATAAAGTAAATAATTGCTTAGTTACGAAGTAAAAGCATGTCAAGTCAAAAGCTAAACATCAAATTTTAGTTTGACGGAGTAAACTTGCCTTTAAAATTCCTCACCACTATTCTTGCCCTCAATATTTTTTTTATTTTTTTATTATTATTAGTATTATTATTATTATGGCTTTTTGAAAAGCATCAATATTTAAATTTTTGAACATTCATTGTGTTGTTTCTTTTTTGATCTGATGGAGATAATATACAAGCAATTACTATCCAACGGGGGGTAGTAATAATCAGTACAAAGAAACAAACCAAAACTGTTTTCAAGGAAAATTTACACAGGTAGTGGATCAGACCACCTTCTTTTTACCTCCGACTTTGATCGGACCTCCTTGAGTTTCCCATCTACTCCATAATCCCTCTCCATAACAAGGTTGATCCCTTCATCTGAGTACCATCCGACTCCAATGCAAAGGATGCCATCCTTGTTTACATCAACATAGGCCGTGACACCACCCGGAAGCCAAAGCATAGTCACATCTTGCATGTCTAGCATCTCTTCTTCTCCAAAGTAAGCTGGATTCCCCGGCAAGCTCCTCTTCTTTAGAGTTTCTGTGCAAAGATAGACATACGGAGTACTATCGTTTTGCTCCATTACCATCTGGTCTATCTCCTCACCAAATACTGGAGTGCCACTGACCTCAAACACCTTCCATGACCCAGTCAGCTCTGATGGTTGGGTTCGTTTGCGCTGAGAAAATGGTTTCAAATCGAACTCCAGATCACTGTTAATGGTACAAAAGGAATGAAATGAGTTCTCCAATGTCAATACAGATAACAAAACACTGCTATAGTTTATAAGCAATGCAAACTCTAGAAAACCCTATGCTCTACAGAACTCTGGGGCATGAGCCCCAATGACACATAAGGTTGCATAAGAACAAATTTTCCTCATGTGCAAACAAATGAGTTTTACAGATTATAAGTGCAAAACTATTTCTTTTATATCTGAAGTCTTTAGGACACTGAGTGCAAGAGGATACTATAGTTTTTCCAGAGATGTACTGAAAGAAAAAATATATATATGTTTATTTCAAGTTTTATATCTCTCTTTCTTACTCCCTGTGGGGTATGATGCTATTACCATTGCATTAAGGTTTCCAGGACCTCTATGTCCTACTGGCAAAATAGAATTTCCATTAATGCATAAGTCACAAAAGAAATAAGATTTCAATTAGATTTGAAGGTAACAATATGCAAAATCTTTATGGCTGTTAGAGTGGTCCAAACAGAAACTTTTGAAATTTTGATGCACCAGTCCTACTGAAATTACAAGAAAATAACATAAAACACATTTACGTTCTAACGAAATAGTACCAATGCATTACAACTTACAACTTACAACATTATGTAGCAAACTCCAAAGTGAAATAAACTTTAGCATAGGATACCTTGGGTCAGGAAGATTGGCAGGACTAACCCACTGTTCTTCATAAACAGCAACTCTCATTATCTGTATGCTTGAACCACCATTGCTGAATTCTATAGTATGAACGATACGTAGCCTCTTGTGGCAACCTTTAACCAAGCACTGGACAAGGAAAAATTAAGAAAATGAATAACTTTTTTAAGTTTCTCATTGATTGAGGTGGGTGGGGGAAGTGGTAGGTCTTAGGTTACGATCTTATCATTTGTAAAAATAAAATAAAAAACAATCATCACAACATTTATAAACCCACATCAATACAATAATATAAAAAAAGTTTAAAATATTAATCAACATATTTTAGATTTCAAGACCTTTGTTCTGCAATTATCACATCTACTGTTCATTGGCATTTATGACTACATTTGTACATGCACTTTTATTACAGATCATGAAAGGAATTTAACAACCTCTATCGACATGCGACTTGGAAAGTGTCCAGTATATGCCATACAAAACTTACTTGTTCAAATTTGAAAGTTGGTGAAAGGTAATACTTAGAGTCATCATCTTCACCAACCGGGATATCAACAGGACCCCTAGAATAAGATCCATCCTGCACATTATCAAACAGAAGATTAAATAGTTCCCATTAGTATTCAAGAAAAGATGGAGGATACTTTTGTCTATTGAAAACCATAAATGAAAAATTACAGGAAGCATTGATGGGAATCGAACCCATTGTAAAATTTGAAAGAGAGAGACCTATAATTTCTTTTCATGAACTGATATTCATGCCATGGATGTTTCTAAGATAATATGGAAAGAACTGTTGTAAACTCTGGAGAAGCTATCTTTATAATGAACAAGATTCACATTTAACAGATTCAAGGAAAAATACTACACAAGTGCCTAGTCGTACTATGTTTGTTCCAAAAGTTGAATATGCATTTTATCATATAGGCTAAATACTGATGATTTATGAAATCTCTAAATTGGCCAATTCAATCTGAGGCCTAGGAGAAAATTGTTTAACATCTCTAAATACTGATGATTTATGAAATCTCTAAATTGGCCAATTCAACCTATGGAAATGTTTTTGCAAATACTTACTAATAAAACAGCAAGTAGTAGTTACTTCCCAAAACCTAAATAATATTTCAACTTTTAGCACTCTCTCATTACCAAGAAATGATAATATTGAAACGCATGCAGCAAGAAAGTCCAAAATTTTGAAGTCTGCAAGCTAATAAATAATGTCAACACTTGTTCTTGGTACTGTAGTACTAACTTAGCATGCATTCTGAATAATATTGAAGGGGGGCAGGGAGCATGCGTACCTCAAAGAAAACAAGACCAGGTTCCTTATCCATGACATCTTCTTCCATCACGTCACTTCTTCCAAAATCAAAAGACTCAAATTCAGGCAAAACATGTTTTTTTCCGCTTCCATCAATATTGTTTTTGTGTGAAGCGGTGTCTCCACCTTCATGCTCTTCTTTCATTCTATTGCTTCCTCTAATATGTTGTGGTATTTCACCGTAAGGATTTAAAGTCACCCAATTAATCTTCCTTTTGATTTGAGATGTTGGCCCTCCAGAATAGGATGGCACGGCCTCAATGTGGGAAAGAGTATAGCAATCATATAGATGTTCATCCCTGCTTCCGATTTCAATTGGCTCCATTTCAGCATTGATGGGTGAAAATACTGCTCCAACGCCCTTCCATATCCCACTGACACTACTAGCAAATGTTGTCCATGCTGGTCTTATCACAGGTTCCTGACAGGAAAAACAAGTGTTGAGTTAGGTTAACTCTAAGACACCAAAAGTGCAGCATAAAATTTATGTATACAAACCGCAAACATGAATGCATACTTGTAACAGATTTTCTTCTTCCTGTCCTCTTCTTTTTCTGTTTGTTTTATTTCCGCCCGTTGGGCAGGGGGTGGGGTAGCTTTCTCTGAATGCCCCATAACTTGTGCAAACAAATTTTTTTTTTTTTTTTTTTTTTTTTTTTTTTTTTTTTTTAACGGAACAAAGTTCACTAATGTTCTGATTGATGGCAATAAGTTGTGCAAAGTTTCCCAGAAGTCCAGGAAAAGCTTCAAAGATAATACTTAGAGATGAACTGAACAAACATGAGATCAAAGAACACTCTCTCAACAGAGGAGTCCAATCTATTATCTGCAACTTTAAGTGAACATATAAATTCATGAACCAAATGCTCCAGAAACATAGAAGCACCTGAGCATTAAAATATTTTCTACCAAGTGGCTAATTCCCATCTCTCAATACCCATTACCAAGTAGCCAATTTCCAACTCTCAATACTCATTTCCTCTCCTTTTTTTCCCCAACATTCTATCAGCAACCAAACAAAAACAATGCAAACCCATTACCCCAACATAGCCCAAACAGAATAAAAAATTTCAAAGTACCTGAGTTTGAAGAACGGTCTCGACCTCCATTAACATGGCACCAGAGACCAACACACCTTTCCCGCCACCGCCTTCACTTCTCTTCCTCCTCACAACCCTCCTTTTGCCTCTCCTCTTCGGGCTTCTCCCTCTCTCTTTCTCCATCGCAGCGAGCTCGTTGTCCACGCTCCACACATTTTCCGCTTTGCCCTTGACCTTGGCTCTACCACCGTTGTTGTTGGGTGCTGGTTTCTTCTGGCACTGGGCAGCGAGCTTCCGAGGGTATTTTGGGAAAGTGGAGGAGGGGAAGGAGAGAGAGGTGAAGAGGTTTTGGGCCGCCGAGGAGGAGAGTGTGTGGTTGAACCCCAAGTGATGGAGGTGGAGAGTGGTGGCGGACAACCGGAGCGACGGTGAGGGCATTTTGGGGATTTTGCTTTTGTTTTAGAGAGAAAGAGCAATGGTCAGCGAGTGAGAGGGGGGATAGAGGGATAAATTTGGGGCCTCTGGATTTGGGCTGGAAATGGTGGTGCCTAATCCAGTGCTTGTGTTGCCAATATTTAAATATTGCGTTTCGATCCAAGAAAAGAAGACCTGTTTTATTGATGATGAGGCCCATAAGGATACTGGATCAACGATAAGAAATTTGAACGAATAATTCAAAACTTCGGAGGATTTAAATAAATTTTAAAAAACCAACCAAGACGAACGGTGGGGACAAATTGCAATGTAGCTTAAATAGTTAAAAACAGTTAGTCCTACATTCGAGATTCTGTGTTCGAATTCCTCCACCAACTCTATGTTTAGATAAATGGGGTTATCCCATGTAGGAGTAATTCTTAAGTGCAATCGATTGTAGTGTAACAAAGAAAGAAAAAAAATCATGTGTTGAAGCTACGTGGACTCCATTTCTCTTTAATATTTTTGTAGGCATAAAGTTGGATATCTATACAGCTAGATTATAGTTTATAGAAAGCATAGGTCTTTCTCTTTCGGCACATATGGGGACCCTTAGGATTAGATAAAGGTCTTTAAATTCTTGATTAAGTAAACCAAACCCAGTCATGTGCATGAATAGTCTTTCTCTTTTTCGAAATTAGATGGGTCTGTTGGTGTCAAGG